ACGGGAAGACCAATAATATGGATGTGTGTGTTGTGTGCACACACAAATTTACTGCCCTTTCCTAAGCCCTGCTGGCTTGCTGAGGCCAGGGGAAGAGGTGGCTTTTCCTTACCTCCCCCTCATGCTGTCACCCCTTCCCATAATTAAATATGCCAACTCAGGGGCTGGCATAGTTGAAGCTTCTTTTGGGAGAGTGCCAGGGAATGAGAGGGTTTGAAATCCTCAGCTGCCACTGGCATACCCTCACCATTGGTGGGACACTTCCATCAGCAGGATATTTGTGCCTGTGGAGCTTTCTGTGGGCATATCCAGTAGGTGTGTCACTTCAGGAGTCCGGCTTCTTTTCCACTGCACTTATACACCACTTCCTACAAATTCAGTTGATTCAGGTTGTGAGGCTGCACCCTAGTTGATGTTAACGATGGCCATATAATGAAATGGAGCACAAATGGAATATTACTGTTTCAAATGAGTAATAGCATTTGACACATTTGATGACATGCGAGATTTCTAGGAAGATAATCACCGTCTAGAAAAGATTCCAAGGAAAGCTATGAGAAACAAATAAAAAATTTAGGAAGCCTGCCATGTGAAGGCTGGAGGGAGGAGAAGGAAAGGTTTAGAGAAAGGACAACACTCTGAAAATGTAAAGAAGAGGGAGAACAATGACGTCTGAGAATGGGGAACAAAGCAATAGATTTTTGAGAGATTGTAAAAAGAATTGCCTTGCTGGATCACTCTGAGGTCCATCCAGTTCATCAGCCTGTTTGCAGCTATGGTCAAGCCAAAGTCTCCAGAAGCTCACAAAAAGGCTATGAAGTGAAAGAACCATTGAGTTGGAGGTGAATGGTAGAAGTATGGCGTGAACAGCAACAACTAGTACTATTATACCCTCTCCTCCTCTTCCTGTTCCTCCCACCCACTGTTGGACTGTTTATAGCTTCCTCCTCCTCCTCCTCCTCCAGTTCCTTTGTTAGTTCACTTCCCATGAGGCATCCCAAAGCAATTTACAACATAATAAAGACATGTACAATAAAATTGTTGCATATATATAAAACTATTAAAACAATTGCACATACAAATTCATTTTTTTAAAAAAACAACAACTATAGATTTGTTAAAATATCAACAACATGTAAATAACTAGGGCTTTTTTCTGGGGATATTCAAAGGTACGTTGTACTGGCACCTCCCCCCCCCCTTAAAAGTGTGGCACTTACTGAGTTAAAAAAAAAGAAGGGTGGCACTTACTGTAACAGGCAGCTTTTTTTCTTAAAAAAAAGCACTGTGTAAATAACTGACAAAAAATCCCTAAAAACCAACCAACCAACTGCCAAAGCTTTGCTTAAACAAGCAGAGGGTCTTGAAAACGAATGTTGCTTCTATTAGCTGTACTTTAGCCAAGGAAGATTGGAGCATTATGTTTATTCTTTGTGTGACTATAGAAATGAAAACACATCCTTAGCAACCTCTCTTGGATAAGGAAGGGTTAATGAGACTCAGTAAAACATTGACAACCAGGAGGGGCTCCCTCAAGTGAGATGATAAAAACAAGGCTGCACCTGGATGCCGGCAATTTGCAGACAGACACATTCTGGTCAGCCCTTTTGCTCAGCCGCTTTGTTCTGCCAGCTGCCTTGGTGCTTTGGATGCAGGTGGAAGGGTGGACTTTGCTATCTATAAAAATGTTTAATAGTGAAGACCAACTTCCGCTTCACCTCTCAAGGGATCAAGGTTAGGCGTGTGTTGCTATGCCAGACAGCACAGCAAAGCAGCACAGGGCAGGTGGGCAAGAGCCACTGTGCCTAGCTCTAAGATGGAGGCCTCTCTGTGGCAGAAAGCACACAGTGAGAATTTTGCGTCTTTGGGGGTGAAAGGCAAGGAGCGGGGAGGCAGCCAGCTTCCCTAGATGGGGCAACAGTGCACAGAGGGGCCAGGCATCCAATTCAAATAAATTAATTTCCACCCAGGAGGAGTGTGGTGCACCCGTTCTACCAGGGAGCTATTGTTTTTGCTCATGTATGCTAATGTGAAGAGATGGATCGCTCCACAGGACCAGGGATGCCCAACATAGTGTGGCTGGCAGAGCAGCTCTCACAAAGAACCTGAGAATTTATGCCTTGCTCTTTGCTTGTTAATGTGGAAATAAAAGGGCCCACCTGCTACTTGAAGTCATGATCACTGGCAGAGTGCAAGCGGGGGAAGGCTCTGGGTAAAGCTTTATAAAAGGGCAATAGAGCTGCAGTCAGTTTCTGTGGTCCTTGTCTTTTGAATTAGGGGAATCACACCATGTTCCGTTGTGATGGAGAAGGGCTGAGGATCAAAGAGCTGCTCTCGAATACTTTTTTTTTATAAAAAAGTACAGTATTGTATTTTAAGTACATTTGCCTTTAGTCACCTTATAAGGAATGGCATGTGGTCAGGAATACAAGCGTGAGGAAATGATCTCTCCTCCCTAGTGTGGTGTTGGAGTAAGACCTGGGACACCACTTCAGTCACAAAGCTCACTGAGTGACCCTGGGCCAGTCATTGCCTCTCAGCCTAACCTACCTCACAAGGTTGTTATGAGGTTTAAATGAGGAGGGAGAGACCCATGCACAACACCTTGAATTCCTTGGAGAAAAAGGTGGGATTTAAATGCAATTAAGCAAGCAATAAAGGCACCCTTTTTATGAATGTCTTTTAGGGTCAAACTAGGCATAGCCTTAATTGTACAGCAATTTTAAAATAGTCCTCCTTCTCCGGTAATGATTTCTTGATTTTCTATATATATTTTTCAAAAAAAATTCTGTAACCTCTCTCTGCCCCCCCCCCAGTAAGTATGTCATATGAGTCATTGATACTTCCCTCCTCAATTTCAAGTACACCTACTATTGTATTGCAGGGATTGTATTTTATTTCACAAGATTTATATACTTCTTGGTTGTAATAAAATATCATATCAGTTTACAGAAACAATAAAGCAGTAAAATTATCAGTAAAAAAGAAAGTTATAAACAATAAATAATTCAAAAATAATTAAAATCAACTAAAATCAGCCAGACTGGAGATATTGCACTGCATCTTTCAACTTGGATTTGCAGGTGTGTCCCACAAAGGCGTCACATACATTGAATAGACAGTGTATGCAGTGAATGTACAGTATGCACAAACATTGAAAACACAGCCTGGCTAAGTCCTTCCCTGCACTGCAGGGGAATTGCCATATTGAACTGGAAAAACACATTTCAAGAATCATTCCTGCTCCCTCCAAAAGCCTTTTTCAATTAGCCATACATTTTTGAATAATCAAAACAACCATTTTTTGAGCGGCTGCCAGCAGATGGCATCTCCCTGTCCATTCTCCAAAGAGAAGCAAAAACTTTTCCGTGTAGGGCAGCCAACTCAGCACTTTGCAAAAAATGACAGGAAAGACAGACTGGGTTGGAACCATCATTAGGAAGCAGGATAAACACAATGTTTCTTAAATAAATACTCTTGCATGATTTATCCACTACAGGTTGAAAACAGAATATTAAAGCACTGGGATTCCTTCTCAGGTGCCACAGAATTTTGCACGTATGCCTCGTATGAGACTTTTGCTGTTTGATCTACTATTTTGGTTTCTTTTGGTGCATGTAATGCATTTTATAATTTTCATTGCATTGTTAGATTTCATATTTGAAACTGGAAGCTGCCACTAGCGCCGTATATTTTGGCTAGTTGGTTACAGGAAAAATAAATGATGCAACTGAGGATCAATACAATTAATACAACTCCACCTGAGTATAATCTCTAGCCCTACATTAAGATAATGGAATGAAGAGTGCACACATCTGTGTTGGAGCAGGCCGGACACTGGTGGTCTTCCTCAGAGACCCTACTCCATGTGTCCCACACAAGGTGAGATGTGTGGAGGGTGGTTGCATGAGTACAGGCCTTTTCATTGGTGGCCTCCATCTGTGGAATGCTCTTTCCGGGGAGATATGGCTAGCACTTTGTTTTCCAGTCTACGTGCTACATCATAATACTTCTATGAGTACAACTAGCGAAACTTCAAAATTACATCTGAATCTCAATGAGGCTTTAGTTTGTTGTGAGTTCATTCTTCAATAAAGTGCTACGCATGCTTTCAAAGCTGGTTTAAGAAATCAGTTGGTGTCTTAGCACTAAAGAGTAGTATATACTTTTGGCAAGAAATTGCATTCTACTGGGCAAACGTCTGTTGATGAAACGGATTGTAATATAACAGCTTGCACACACCTACATGAACAATTTTGGGTAACTTTCAAACTTGAGCATTTCAATAACTTGAACTGGTCTAACAAAAAAATTGCTATTTTACCTGGTTGCTTACATGTATTTCTTCAAAAGAAGAAATATAATTATAGGCTATATTTCTTTATGCAAAATAGAAGTCATATTATTTCAACAAGGAATGCAACTAAGAGTCTCTGGTGCAGAGAGCTAAGCCTTAAACACTTTCTGGGACTAAGCAAATATCTGAAAAATATTTTATTTTATTTTTATTTTTTGGTGATATATGTAAGATTGCTTCTGTCAGATTGTATTCTTTAGGGATTAGTTGGTTTCTTTCTTCATAGCCACAATGAGTCTATGTGTAAATTTTACCCCAGTTTTGATGGCTTTCCATTTTCCTATAAGTAAATATTTCTTCCTTTCAGCTGCTACCTGCCAAATAACTTATAAGTTATCTCTTTCAAAGTGGAAAGAGGGGAAAGACAATTAAGATGCACATGACCTAACCTTCTCCCTTTAAGTATTTTTTTAAAGTAGCAATTATGTCAGCAGGATATGTGATGTACAGAATATTTGTTTGGAATGTTCCTCTCAGTACCACTTCAGAGCCAAAAGTAAATGCACCTCAAGCAATATTAATATAGTTGATACTTAATTCATTGAAACATTTTAACAAGCAATTTTATTATTAGTGTGTGCGCTCCCACTCACGTACGCTGTAGTCTTAAAAGTGATAGATAAGAGTAATCAAAGCAGGAAATAGGTGTTCCTGGAAAGCAAAGCTCCATTGAGCTGTCATACTTTCTCCCGCCCTCTGATTTCCACATTTGGATTCTGAATGGCTGTGAAGATGCTTGCTCTGTGACAGCACAACTCAATTTCGTGTCGGATCAGCATGGACAGCTGTGGCTTTTGACAATGGAAGCCATTGTTGGGTCCTGAAAGTTAATGTGATTATGCAAATGTTGCTCTAACTACCCAGGCTCTCTTATACTCTTCACAAATGAGCACATTGTCACATTTCATTATGTGCATCCAGTCCTGCTGGTTTGGTGGTATCATTATATCTCTCAGAAATGGACCACATCAAGACTGCTCGCTGCTGGTATTAGGCAGAGAAAACCAACTCTGACCCACAAACAAGGATTTGTGTGTGTGTTGTGGGGGGTGGGGGTTGTAGCTTGACTGAATCTCTATATTAGTTCTGACTGACTTTGGAGGGCCAAGAATAGTAGATAGAACTACAAGACAGAATCTGGTTCAGGAATAGACTTTGAACCATTTCTGGCTCCCAAGAATGTACGTATATATGTGAACAGGCTTTCCTTCATTTGCACACCTCATCATTTGTACAATTCTGTTAACAGGAGCCGGATTCCTGACTAGCTCTGATTCAACAGATTGATTGCTGATGTGCAAGTTCTGTGGTTGTCCATCTCTGACAGTTTGCTGCCATGCGTTTGCAGCCCTAGGAATCACTCCCCACAATTATACCATAAAATGTGAAACCCCGCCTTATAATGTGTTATTTCTTTCTAAGAACTGGACCTTCCATTAAAAACATGGATTCAGTGCCACTTCTAGTGGTAAAGACTTGAAAATGGTTTCACGTTGAGTTGGGGGAGAGAAGCAGGGCTTTTGTTCTAGTTCTTGTTGGTGTTGTTCTATTTGTTTATATATCAATGCACCCAGTGCTTTACAAAGTATAGGAGGGCAAGCCCCTGTCCAGAAGACCTTACAATATAAACACAATATAAACTACTTCCATGTTTCAAAAGCCAGGATAAAGACTGAGGTGCGTCTTAAGCATTCTTTGAAAGCTGTACAATGAAAGTGCCAGACACACCTCTATGGGCAGGGAGTTCTGCATTAGGGGCTGACACAGATAATGCCCTCCTTCAGGCCAGTACCCCCTGAGCATCTGAGGGACAAGAACTACCAACAGGCACCCCCTGCTGATCTCTGCACCTGAGAGGTTCTGTAGGGAAGGAGGCAGTCCTTCAGATATTTGGGGCATGAGTCATTTAGGGCTTTAAACACCAACATCAACACCTTGAACTGGGCCTGGATGATGGCAGTCATGCCAACACATACACACACAACCCCCAAAAGCACCTTCAATTATGCTAGTTGGGACTGATGTAGCTAATTTTCTCTCATTCATGAAAGTGGAAAGGAAAACATGGTTTCAAAAAAATGCAGGGTGGGGGAAAGCTACCTCACACACACTGACTTCAAAGAAGCTGGAAGCATTTTGAAAGCGGTGGTAGCTCCCCCACTATAGGATTGCTGTGCCTGCTACAACGGGACATGGAACTTCATGCGTTATGCCTAGTGATGCTCCTGGAAGTCCAATTTGGAGGGCTGAAAAGGCCAAGGTGTGTGCCAAGCTATGTTCTCTTCCTAACAAACTTAAATATTCTTGTAATTCCAATAGAAATTTATTACAGGTTAATTTGATGTTTCTGTGCATTTTGCATAACTAAGCATCAATTACTACCATCTTTGTACATGTTAAAATGTTGTAACTGGGGCTAGAAGAGAAATTTGATGGATCTTACATTCAAAGGTGAGCTTACTTACCTAATTCACTGTCCAAAACAATACATGAACAAAAACACAGCCACTGTTCAAAATTCACACTTCTCCAAATTTTGCAAGGCAGTTCTCCAGCCACCTAATGTATACAAAAAGGCATATAGTGCATATCATTGCATATATTAGTGGAAGTAACACAAACATATATTATATTAGTGGAAATGTTTCACAAAAATGTGTACATTGGAAGAAAGTCACACTAAAATGCTAGTGAGTTTTCATGAGGACATTAAAAAAAAAAATTTCTCAAACTGATGTGGAAATGTAGAGAATGGACCTGAAGATTGTGAAAAAATGAGAAACCGGAACTGACCGATTTGCCCATCTGTACCTGCTACTCAGGTTTGCCATTTCAGATGTGGTTCTCAAACAGAACAGGTCCCTTTCCTGGAGGAAATTGATCCCTTTCCTCTTTATGAACTTCAAATATCTAAAGTGGCACTTTAGTAGTAAGAGACCCAGCATACTGTTGTAAGTATGTATATATTTAAAAAGTTGAAGTGCCTGAGTCAAAAATGTAGGGCACAGGTGTTTTGGGGTCATTCATTTCTCAGCGCTGTTTATGAGAAGATCCCAGACACATTCAGAGAATGCTGTTTTGGTGCAGTGCCAGCCATCAAAAGCTGACAGGAAAAAACAGGTGTATCTGGTGATGACATGCACAGCTTTCAAAAAGAATCAGACTGTAGAAACATTTACATTCATTAAAGGAGCTGCCATTACATTTTTCTTCAAAAGGCATGATGAAGAATACATTGCAAAATTAGGCAATTTTCACAAATGGGACATTTTCAGCACCCAGCTGCAAGACAACTGGTAAGTTGAGGGAAGGCAAGAGGTCAAAAGACACTGTGGCTGTTTGTCTATGCTGAAACACCAAAACCCTGGATGACAGTGGGGCCCACAATACAAAATTGCAGCCTTGTTAATAAAAATAAAAGTCCACACAAGTTTATGGCCAGCAGCAAATAAAAATCCTAGACTGCTGGAAGCTAGCAGAAGAGAGAAGGTGTGTGTGAGAGAGAAACCTTTGCCTTCCTTCAGCAGATTCCTGCAATTCAATGTTGGGAGAGATGCAGCACTCCACTTTTCCTCACCTAAATACTATTCCGTATTCTGTATTAGCTCATAGGCTTCAATACAGAGATAGAGGCTAGGAGAGCTGGATAAATCTTGGCTCTGTAGAGCAGGGTGAGTTGCAACAAATACATATCAAGTGTTTTTGTACCCAGAGATATCAAGAAGAGCCTGTAACTAGAAAGCAATAATAAAATAAAGGCAACATCTTTGCTCCTTGAAACTTGTAAATATTGATGTCAAATTGAACACATGCACCACAATCTAGAGTTTGATGTGTGTGTATCTAAGTGTGCACCTCTTACTGCTATATAACATCCCCGTTGGTTTGTGTCTGCTGATGTTCCTAGACTGAAATGAATGGGGACGCATGCAGAGTGGTCTCTCCAAAGAACAGCACTCTGGCTGGGGAGCTCTGTGCATGCCTCAGAGTGCTTGCCTCCCAAACAGATTGCTAATATACACACACATATATATTGCAGGCTCATTTGGGCTGTTTTTGTGAATGTCAGTTGCATGGGCACATTACTAAATAATCTGAATATGCAGCTACTTGATTTCCATGCCACATACTTGTTATGTATGTATGTATGAATGCATGCATGCATGCAATAACAGTATGTATATGGCAATTAACAAATTCTGTACATGATTGGGCTAGCATTGTAACGGCTTAATTTTGTGAGTTCTCCAGGGCAACTGAAACAATCAGGATTAAAAATTACTGATGTAATGTTGAGAGCATTGCTTCACTGGGAGCTTTGTAAAAGCATGCCTGATGAAGATTAATCACCATATATATATATGGAAAGTAGTGACATCACACTTCGCACACACCATCATTCTCCGTAGGCACAGATCCAGAAAAGCTAACATGAAACCACCTGGGTGATTTATCATGAATTAAGACACCAAGTACCTCCTTTACTATTTATGTTAACTTAACTTTATTGCTTTGTGTAGTTTTGCGGTTGTGAATTTGACAGGAACTGTTGTACATTGGACCTGTATATGCTCTGCAGAAGTCCTGCAATGTATCCTGCACACCTATTGGGTTGCTGTTGTAGCTTAAAGTTGTCTTCAACCTTTGCAGACCCAGGACCACCTTTAACCCAAATGTGCATTTGGACACCCACTTCTCTTTTTTACCATGTCTTTAGGGCTGTTGTGACCCACCTTAGGTCATGTTGCAACTTAGTAGTGGGTCCTGGCTCATCTGTTGAAGACCATTAATCTAGTAGATTGTTGACTGCCAGGGCCACTGCTGGACCAGCCCAGTCATAGAATCAGGGACATTTATACGTATTTAAAAGAGGGCACATGACTATGAAACAAATCTGCATGACAAATGCATCAGCTCTGCAAGTGTGTATGTCTGTAGATTATTTATATATATGATGGGACATGAGATATGGGGCCCAGTCCAAAAGACCAGGGGCATGGGCCCCTCTCTAACAATGCCCTTATGTAGAATTATTGTCAGAGAGAATTCGAAGGAGCAAGTGACAGAAGAGGCGGAGCAGGGGCTCAGGATGCTGTGGAGCTCTTCAACCACCCAGAGGCTCGGGAAGGGAGCTCAGACTCTGGAAGGGAGGTTGCTTTCACATCAGCACAGACAAGGAAGGAAATGAAAAGTAAGCATCAAAGATGTCTCGCGCGATTCCCATGCCTACTTTATTGGCGCGGGAATTGAAGGAAGCCACTCCCTGAATCTGACTCAATGGGTTTGGATGCATAATTCTGAACTGTAGCTGTTTCTTGTACATATGTAATAAATACTGTAAATACCAAGCTGACTGTGCCAGAGTTACTGCGAAGGGGAGACACCACCTTTACAATTATAGAGTTGAAAAGGACCTCAACGGTCCTGAGCCCATCCCTCTCCCAATGCAGGAAGCCCATTGAAGTTTGCCATCCAGGAGCTAAATTTTATCCAGAGTAGACTTATAAAAATTAATTGACCTAGCTTGGTCATGTTCATTAATTTCCGTGGATCTACTCTGAGTAAAACAGCTGAATGCAACCTTCCCGCCAGCCTCTGCTTCAGTGAAAAAGTGTCCATTTCCTTCTGTTCTATCAACTGATGGCTCAAACTTCATCAAGTTCTTCCTAATATTTTGTCTACATTCTTTTACTTTTATTTATGGAACTGTTTCCCTAATTATAGCTTCTCTATATTTCATATGTACAATATATTGCTTGTACTAATTAAATAATACAGGTTTGTTTCTTCAACAATTTGTTTGGCATCGAACCATATTATGACTGGAGTAATTTCTGGAATAGCTTCCTCATAGACTTGACTGGTGCTTATGTTATGAATTTTTAGGTGCCAGTGAAGGCATTTTTCACTTCCCCAAACCTTTCAACTTATGACAGGTATGCATTCTTGCTGTTCTGAAAAGACTCGCACCAAATATCTTTTCCATTTGCAAATTCTTATGATAGCTTTATATTGATTTTATGTTGCTGGCTTTGGGGTAGGTGAGATGTGTGCCGATTTGTATTGTAGATTCATTTCTCATCTAAAAGTTTACCACCCTAACAAAACAAAAACACGGTCAACTTTGAAAATGTGCAGTTCTCTGGATTTTGCAATGCAGCTCTCAAGCTGAGATGTGTAAAAAAAATGCATATTCTGAGGTAAAATGTGCATTAAAATATATATGTTAGTGGAAGCATAATAAAAAAATGAATTGCATTGGGGAAATTGCTCTTAAAAATGTGTCTTAGGAGAAATTTGTACTCAAATGCTGATAAATTTCCATGAAGACTCCCCACCCCCCTTCTGAAAAACAACAACAATGAACTGGTGTGAAAATGTGGAAAACTTAAGATTAGAAAAATGAGAAACTTCCATCCTTACCTGCAAGTCAATCAGCGAGCGATGCCTGGCCTCCATGTTCTTTTCAAACAAAAGGTCTCCGTGAGGGCTACTTTCTCTCTTTGGGAGTTGGCAGGAGCCGCCTCAAGGCACCCTGTCAGGCCCAAAGCGTATTGGAAGACAAAAACAGCAGCCAGGACTTTTGTTAATGGCAGCAGGCCTTCTGTTGGGGAGGGCAGAACCTGTTAGCTATGTATTTTTATTGATTTAGGAGTTTGGATTTGATATCCCGCCTTTCACTCCCTTTAAGGAGTCTCAAAGCGGCTAACATTCTCCTTTTCCTTCCTCCCCCACAACAAACACTCTGTGAGGTGAGTGGGGCTGAGAGACTTCAGAGAAGTGTGACTAGCCCAAGGTCACCCAGCAGCTGCATGTGGAGGAGCGGAGACGTGAACCCGGTTCACCAGATTACGAGGGTGGGCAGCTGTGCCCATGCTTCTGTGGCATTTTGGAACAGGGACTTTTGAGAAGCTGTTAAAAGCAACCCCCCTGAACAGGGTGTTGCAGTGCCTCAAAGTGGGAAAGGTGAAGCAGCACCCCCCTGGCGTGCCCCTCAGGTCAAAGGAGGAAGTTGGGCAAAGCTGTGAGGACAGGTTGATGCTGGGTGTGAAATAGAAAAGGAAATCAACAAACTGAAATAGTGAGGAAGCATGGTAAACGACCAGTCAAGAAAATGAGGGAGACTTTGTATCTGTGACAACCCATGGCACCCCCCTCCCCATGACAGACTTACAAACAAAAAACTGACAAAACAAACAAACAAACAAACAAACCTATTTTAGCATAGCTTATTTTATAACCCCGATTGCCATGTTGGGGCATGATGAGGTGCTTTTGGAGGTGAGGGATGGGGAGGCACCCACGGGAGGGTTGGAAAGGTCCATTGAGGGTGAGAAAGGTCCACTTATCACCTTTAAATTGTGTCTCCCCCTCACCATTTTTGGGTGGGGGTAGAGCCTTGGGGGTTTGCTGAGCATGCCTGTCCACCTCCAATGCCTTGCTTGTGAAATGATTTCCCTCCCAGGGTTGTTGTGAGGATACATTATATATTATTAAAGTGTTTTGTGCCATGAAAGGGCTTTTTTTAAAAAATAGTGAGGACAGCAGCAGTGTCATATGACATGTGATAACTTTCTTTCAAAGTACGGGATATATCCTTAGCTGTTCAGAAGATTATGGCATGCCAATATGCTGGTCATGAGGCACCTCAAACTTTACTTCAATTAAAAGTTGAGCCATATGAGAAAAGAAGCAATTTTGAGGTTCAAATTGCAGCTTGTATCGCCATTTGGCTTTTATTTTTTATATTCTTTGGCTTGGGGCAAACAGAACCTACTCAATAGTGGGGGAGGTATACAGGCCCAACTACAAAATACGCCATGAAGCGCACTTGAGTTGATTTTTCCTTGTTACACTCTTGTGTTGAGATGCTGACTGGACTTTTGTTTAAAATGTTGTGCAAAACACACACATGGGCCTTCTGCACCTGAGTGTATACTGGTATCCATTTTTGAACTAGGATAAGCACATTTCATTCAACATGCATTTTTAATTATTCAGGAAAATGAATTGCTAGCATGCAGGCAGACGTTCCTCCCAGCAGAACCTGAAACCTGGAAAGATGCAAGGACTCAGGCACCAAGCTATATTATTTTGTTCTGCTATATGAGCCCCATCCTGTTCTACACAGACATACCCACACTGAATGGAAATACCTTATATACTCGTGTATAAGCCAACATTTCCAGCATTTTCTATGCTGAAAAAGCCCCCCTTGGATTATACTTGAGTGAGGGTCTCACCCAAGCGCATTTCCAGCAGCTGAGGAGGAGGAACGAGCAGCCCGAAAGCAGCCCTTTTGGGCTGCTTGTTCTTCCTCCTCCGCTGCCGCCACCAGCCTCTGCCTCTTGGCAGCACCCTAGGTAGGCTGGGGGGGAGGGAGAGAAGCCCTCTCTGCCGTGTGCGCATGCATGCGCGTGCACACACACTCCGGCTCACTAGGTTTGTGGTGTGGTGAACCGGCTTATACTCGAGTCAGTAAGTTTTCCTAGTTTTTTGTGGTAAAATTAGGTGCCTTGGCTTATATTAGGGTCGGCTTATACTTGCGTATATACGATAATGTTCTGAATGGTATAGAATAATTTATTTAAACAAGATCTAACTCAAATATCCATTGTAGAACTGGACTGTCCCAACTTGATGGGCAATCTGAAGCCTTGAAGTTCTGTGGGTTCCCAATGTTTTGAGTTCTGGGTAGAAGGGCACCTTGTTACTTTGCAAGACCTGCTCACACAAGACGGATGTGGCAAGATTACTTTCCCCCCACTTCTCTCCCCCAAATATACTAAAACTCAAGTGCATTTAAACAAACAGTAGGTTTTTACAAAACGGCACGCTTTATTTATCTACAAGGCAGTAAGTACAGTGTCTTATAAAAAGTTAAGTGCAGGGAAAGCTGCACCTAATTCTATTAAGGCAGCAAATTCAGAATCCATTATAAGAAAAAGAAGCAACCTTCTCTTAGTACTGGGAAAAGTTTGATATGGCAGTCCAAAAGACATACATTTTTTTTTTAAAAAAAATGTTTTTGTGTATGGAATCCATGTTAGGGACTATTTAGACTACACGTGAAACAAGAGTAGAAGCAGCAAGCAAGACTAGGATCTCCCAAATAGCTGGAGTTTGCATTCTATGTTGTTGCAAACCCATGAGCACACATATAGGCACATAAAATCTCCCAAGAACAGTGTTTTAAAGTATTGCTTGCAAAAAAAAGGGAGGGCCAGGTAGGGGGTTAAAAAGCAGTAATGTTTCCAAAGTCAGAAATGCTAGTGCATAGTTCAGTTAGCTACCCCCCACCCCAGGTTTCTCTTTCGTTTATAAAGCTCTATGGCCTTGCCCATCTACATGGTGTAAATCTGCACCAGAAAAAAAATCAACCCCCCCTGCAAAACAAAAACCAACCAAACCAAAAATAGAACAAAACCCATTTGACATTTACAAAATTAAATTACTGGATAAAAAATATAATTTGTTCTCATAAAACTATGTTTCATACCGTAATAATTTTTTAAAAGCAAGCTAATTAAAAAACAACAACATACACACGTAAACAGTCTACAGTTCTAATGAGTGGAACAGTTCTTCAAACAGTATAGCTGTGTGACCATTGCCAGTCTGGATTGGCCCCCAGCCTACACCTTTAGATCAGCATTTGCAGTAATGCTTTTCTTGCAGTATTTCATACCGAGACATTTGTTCAGTGACTGATGCTACTGATGGAGTGCCAGCTCTTCAAAGAGAAAAGGAAACCTCAGCAAGCATCCTCACTGGTATGGGAACTCATGTGGCAACTCCTCACTGAATTAATACTGGTCCATTTGATCTCCCAAAAAGTTTTGTTTTTTTAATATATATATAAAAAATCATTTAAAAATCACTTTTTAAAAAAGAGAGAAAGAAATCGGCATTCACATTATTAATAATTAATTGCATAAAATTCAATACCTAAGAGTTTAGGTATGCATCATCAACAAACAGAATTATTTTCTTCCTTTTCTTTTTTTAAGTTGGGTGAGATCCAACATGAACAATATATACACATATATGCTTTTGTGACTGAATGCACTTTGTGCTGCTCCCAAATGTTGTACCACAACAACAACAACAACAACAACAACAAAAAAGGTTTTTCTCCCATGTAGAGGAATGGTAAGTCCAAATCAAGTGGAAGTGTTTTGAAAAGAAAACATAATGCTTATTGGAAGACTCTTTTTCACATGACCAGAGTTCGAGTCGAGAATGCGTTCATATGCTTGCGTGCAGGATCCGAGAAGCTCAGCTGATCCTCTGTCTTCCCACAAAATGCTGAATCCCATGTGTTGCTAAAATGCTAGAAACAAAAATAAAAAGGAGAAATTTTTTTAGAAGCTGTGGCACAATCCAGGCCTTCCTGTAAATCTGCTCCTTCCCAGGGTTGGTGTCGCACAATTGTCCTCTGTGCTCGAGTCATCTGCAAGTGTGGCATTACAGAGGACTTAAGTCATGGGGACTGCATACACACAATACCTTTAAAGCACACTCAAAGTGCATATCTAGTCTACAAATGGGTTTGACAGACCTGCCACTGGAAGCAACGTCTAGGAATGTTGTGTTGAAGCCAATCCTAGTGTTTCTGAGAGCCCCTGAGATGTAAATAGGCTTAAGAAGGGAATGAAGGAATGAGGCTAAAAATATTTTCAAGCAACTCAACAGCGATAGGCTTTTGGAAACATGTTAAAGGGGTTTAGCTGGCAGCAAGTACCATGTCAGGAGCAGCCCATACCAGTGGGGCAGAGCCACAGCAATAGCCTCCTGGCAGTGGCATGGCTGCTTACCAGGAGAAGAAAAGGGCGACAGTGAGGCTGGGGCTGTTTGGGTACACTAGCAGGACTGCCAGATTGGCTCCACCCGCAACCTCACTGGCCTCTCACCCAGTAAGCAGCATGGATATTGCTGTCAAGGGGTTGTTGCCTGGCTCTGCCCCACGAGGCAAGTTGCTCTTGCACGATGTAGAACCGGAGCCGACTTCCATTTGTTGCTTGCCTACGGCTTTCATAGCAATGCTGGCCATTGGGCTATGCTGCTTAGGGCTGGTGGGAGATGAATTCCTAGAACATCTGGAGGACCACAAGTTCCCTAGTAGGCAGTTGCTGAACTTGTGGGCTGAAAGCACGGTGACTGTGCCCAACTTGCATAGCCTAGTCCAAAGTGAGGGTTCACACAGACAGCTCTGGACTCAAGTTAATAACTAGCTCAGTTTTTTTCAGGTAACTTCAAAAGTATGTTAGCACATAGCCGGAGGTAAATGTTCCACTGTGAAAGGTACCGGGGGGTGGGGATGGGAACCAGTCTGCTGAGAGAAACAAGTTTTTTAGCCATAATTTAATATCATTTTGTTTTTGTGGTATTTACAAAGATTGGAACCCCTCCTCAGTGCTGTGCTGCCCGGAGATAAACATATCTGTAACCAGGGTGGCATCTCAGTCATTTGCTTGTTCTTGAGACATGCAAAATGTCTTGGTGCCCCAAGCCAATAGGAGGGCAAAAATTTCAGCACTTTATGGAATGTGTAAATACAGATATATTTTTCTTCTTCTCCACCTCACCCCCGCCCCCTTTATGTACTATATTCCTACCAGAACTTGCAGTTTTGATGCAGCAATGTATAAACTACCACACAACACTCAATCTCTTTCAAAATTCTAAGCACTCTTATGTCAGATCACAATTCTCAGGGTGGTAATTTACACGACAGCAGGGAGGGAACAAAGGACAAGATCTTTGTGGAAGAGGAATGGGGTGGGTGGGAAGAACTGTTCGAAATCCCTTGTCTCTTTGAAGAGCTTCTGTAAGCCTAAGAACATCATAAGATCCTTGCTAGACTAGGTCATCCATTTATTAATCCACCTTTTGCATTTCCACGTGATACACACTTTGGTATTCAAGCAGCTTATAAAAGTGTGACACAGGGCACCCTGTTTATTTTGCTTTCTCTGCAACATGGGCCTCTGTCTCTTCAAACCGCAGCCAAGGGCAGGTGTGACATACTTTTCACATTACAGATATGCCACCACACTGCTGCTGTTTCCTCTGCTATGATTTCAGTGAACAATCTCCACCCCTTTGGGGAACTTGGCATGCCTTGGCTAATTTCAGTCTTTGTTGTACGCCCAACAACTCAGATCCACTCAGGGGAGAGAGCAATCACTGCTGGAATGATGGAGGTATTTTTGTAGAACAGTACATAGGCAAATATGGATCTTACTGCTGAAGGGTGTCTAGGTTAGGCATGGGGATATCTGAATCGCTTAAGCTCTGTGGAAGGGAATGACAACATTTGCCTTACACTATGGATTCTTTGCAACTCTTTAATTTTTCTCTTTGTTGTTTAGTCTTTCAGTCATGTCCGACTCTTCGTGACCCCATGGATCAGAGCACACCACACACTCCTGTCTTCCACTGCCTCCCGCAGTTTGGTCAAACTCATGTTAGTAGCTTTGAGAACACTGTCCAACCATCTTGTCCTCTGTTGTCCCCTTCTCCTTGTGCCCTCAATCTTTCCCAACATCAGGGTCTTTTCCAGGGAGTCTTCTCTTCTCATGAGGTGGCCAAAGTACTGGAGTCTCAGCTTCAGGATCTGTCCTTCCAGTGAGCACTCAGGGCTGATTTCCTTAAGAATGGATAGGTTTGATCTTCTTGCAGTTAATGAGTATGTTAGGAATACATTATTCTCTGGAATGTTTTGACAGTTTTATTTTGACTATTTTTCATGTAGTGTATGTGCTCTGCAGCCTGCACTGGGTCCATTCTTCTGGTGGAAGGTGAAAATTGTTCATATAAAATAAATAAATTATATTCTGAAGTAAAACAGAAAGTGATAGGCAGATGCTCTTGTGTGGCTGCGTCTTCTTCTCATGATAAGGGACCATATGAACAGTAACTCACTTCCATTATCTTAAACATGCAGAAGTGGGTAGGGATCAGAATTCATTGACAGCATACAGTGACCTGATAGTAACCAGAGACAGTCACACCCTATGGCTTACCACAATTCTCTCTGTGTGTGTAAACAAAGGCTGGGCAGTCACCTCTGAAAATACTCTGGATGGTGCTCTCCCTTACATGGTCCCTGTGCGTAGTGGTGGAGGGAGATAATTCCTTTCCAATCTGCTTGAGAGCACCTCTCTTACTTCCAACACCCTTGGTGCATCAGCTAGTATTCGAACAGGGTTACTTGCATCAAACCCAACATGCATAGGCCCAAATGGCACCTCTAGTGCCATAAAAGAACATTGACCTCTGGTCTGCCAGTTTTAGAAGGTGGTTTCACAGACATACACGAAAGTTTTCAGAAATGAAAAAGCTCCACTTCCATACTTGGTACATACATACAAGCACAAAACAGGCACACATTTCTGGACAAGGGTGTGTAAGGCTGGTGCTCAGCAGCAGCAGCAGCATCTTCCAATGCATCTCATCCCCTTGCAAGAACTTTTGTGGGATGTGAGTGTTAATAACCCAGTTGCACCTCTGCCTCCCCCTCAAGATGCTCCACTCATCAGCAATGGCCACTTCCCACATGCTGTTCCTCTCACAAGCTGCCACAGGACAAATTTCTCATTACCATCCGTGAGAGAGTGCTGCACGAAGCACCAATGTACAACCCAACAATGCTTGCCATGTGACTCCTGTTCCATTGGTTTTATGTATGGCTACTTTTTGCTAGCTTGTGCCAGCGGGCTCTGAGTGTATTATTAAAGGCAATTTAGCCCCAAACCAGGAAAAAATCATTAGCTGGCTACATGTTTCGGATCAGGTCTCTGGATTATATGAGTCTGTTATGTTTGGTACTAATCCACTGCAAATACTGCTAAAGCAATCAATTTGTTCTTTCACATCAGATTTTAAAAGTTAACAGTTTCCAAAGCTACTTCAAAAGTTAAAATTGTGGGTAAGAAAGGCAACTTCCATACAGTATGTTTATGCCACGTTGATATATAATTATCAAGCCATGGTGTATTTTCAGCTGTGTCACTCTTGGTTCATTTTGCCACATCAGTAATCCTACAAGAACATCCTTCTTCTAGCAAGGCAATTATCTCACTTATCCTGTAACCTGCCTTCTGTTGCCCCAGGGAAGAGTGAACAGTAAACAGATTGTCAAAGCTTTAACTGGGCTATCCAGTTAAAGCACTTTAAAGGAAAGTGACCCCTCTAGGGAAAAGAGAGAAACAAGGCAAAGCTGTGCCAAGGTGCTTTCCTTCAGTCACACACTGTAAAGACTGATTCACACATTATGCTTTCTTGTAAGTAGGAAGCACTCAAGGGAAGAAAAGTGGGAATAAGTAATACAGTGAACTCTCAAGTGACTGGGGCGCACGTGCTATATTCTGGGGGTCATGCCTCAAGCCAAAATCACATATAGTCAAAACATATTTGGTAGGTGGGATTGCCATTTTTATATTTTTTTTAAGGACACCTTCCCCCTTTATAATAGCAAAGTGCGTAAAGGTTTGGTTTCTGAATCCCAAAACGAATATTATATAATTTATACCAATGGTTGTGAATTCCCCATTCAAGATGGTGGTTTCCACTTGGATTGAAATTTAGGAATCACTTCTTAATTGGAGTTGGATTTTACCTCAGGCCAACATAAACATTTGGTTCACTGAAGTCCGCTGTGATTAGTGCATTGTCTTCAGCCACTCTGTACTTGAACAGATGCAAATGAGCAGAACACTGACCTGATTGTTTTACAATGAAGCACTCTTCTCAAAACAAAATGGTTGCCGACTAGGCTTCCTGAAGTCAACAGCAAGGCTACTAACAAACGTTCAGAGTTGCATTCATAGTGAGACTGATAGCTATCCTTTCTCCTCAGTAATTTTTAAGGGGCCACAGCCTGCAATCCATTTATTAACTCAGGGCTCGTTCTGCAGCAATATTTCCAAATTTTAGGTGGGAAAAAATGATCTGTAGTTTCATGGAAGCTTTACCCAGGGAAGAATCCCACCACACACCACAATATGATTACTTTGATGTCAAAATGACCCCTGCACAAAGAGCATCCTAAAGGCAACAGACACAACCAGGAACTCAAAGCTAGCAACCATTATCGTTCAGCATAGCAATGTTGCAGCAGACCACACAGTCATATGGTCAAAATACCCCCCAGTTTGTTGTTACAAGGTTAATATGAATGGGCCTACTGGAGCAAGTGGGAGGATAAACCTACAGAATGAGAATGAGAAAATGTTCTTATGCTCTTCCTCTGCTCTTGCCTCCTGAATGACAATCTCCGATTGCCTCTTTGAGTAGGAGGGAAGGTGACTTCTCCCAGTGTACACACAATCTTTTACTGAGTTTGCACATCTAAGGATCAGAACAACTTTTGAAAAGTGACAACCCCAAGGTTCATGACTGGAACAGGGAAAAAGCTCATTCACCAGCCATTTATCAATTCTGTGGTAATAAAAGTCAAATGCAAAATTCTAGTTAAGGTAATAAGCCAATTCTACTTCATTTACTCAGAGCAAATGCTATTTGCTTAAGGAGTAATAAAAGATTTTAAATATTTTGTTGGCTCAGCTCTATAGAAGTAGATGCTCTAATGCTCTTGTCCAGAAGGGGATTATTACCATATGAGCCACTGCTGTACTATTTATCTTTGCAGTTTCACAAGACAGTGGAAAGATACCATACTGTATGTCTGCAAGTCACATATTCACTACTGTGGTGTGTTTTTTCCTGGTGTGTGGAGCTGTCCTCCATTATTTCATAGATAGTGTCGTAAACCCAACAAACTGATCTCCCTCAAGTGCACTTTTACTGGGAAACAATAGCTGGAGAGGCCTGGTGCACTTTTGCTCTCTGCCTGTGGGCTTCCCATGGGTTTTTGGTTCGCCACGACTGGGAACAGAATGCAGGCCAAGGAGAATCTTCAGCATGATCCAGCAGGGCTCTATTTAGGTTCTTACAGCTAAAAACCTTTTGCATTAGTAACTAACCTTACCTTCTTCATAGCTAAACACAGGAAACAACCTTACACTGGGCCAGACCACTGAAGCTTCTAGCTGTTTTGTCTATTCTGCAATGGCTCTCCAAGGTTTCAGAGAGATGCCTTTCCCAGCCTTAGCCCACCTTTGTCATGGGAGATAAAAGGGTCTGAACTTGAGATCTTCTGCATGCAAAGCAGATAAATGTCCTACCACTGAAATCAAGGCCCTTCTCTAGGCTTGGCAACTTTTCCTTCCCGCCCTTCTGTCAAAATCTTGACTTTCCATTGAACTGCCTTGTGGAACTTTGCTGAAATTCATACTTACGACAGCCAATTAAAATGATCAGCCCAAGGAAACCAATATGTAAAAGAGCATGCTTCACTGCTACAAAAATGAAGTCTGTAATGGCAATAGGAGGGAATAACATCTGTGTCTTCCAGTCTGTTTACATTTTGACAAACCATTTTTTTCCAGGTTGCAGAAAAAAGAATGCCACCTTTGAACCAGCGTACCAAAATGTTAGGTCAGCTATTCTGCTTTCCTTACAGCTTTTTTCATTGAATTTTATAGTCAGCAAACAATACTGCATCCAATAGTAATCTATAAATATGTACTATTATTGTGCAAGGCATCATTCTATACTGCAAATAATTTTAAAAGCGAATTTACCTGAAGTGGGCTAACTGATGACCTATTTCTATGTAATGCAAATAATTTATCAGTATTGTCCTCTTCTTCTGATGCAGGCATCTTTAAACCAGAACTGGTAAGTAGATTCTGATGAAACAGTAAAAAAATAGAGGTAATTGAAAAGGAAGAATGAATGAATATGCTGAATACATTATTTCAATGATTTAATTTCAGTCATTTAAAACAGTAATTTGGGTACAAGATGTTGCTAGGCATTGTCACAGCCTGATCCTAGAACAATCACTTGGAAGGAAGTTCCAATGTGTGCATTTCTGAATTGGCAATTGTGGTGAGGTCATATAACCAAGTCTGATTGGTTATACCGAGTCATGACATTACATACACAACGTGAAAAAGAGACAGTTAAAAGGGAAATGTTGTTTTGGAGCAGCTGCTGAGAGAGGCAACAAGTACTGTATCAGTGAACAGGCAGAAATGATAAATAATGGCCTGGGAGTTTTCAGAGAACATCTCACCCTCCAGAAACACCAAACTGCATGCCCTTGTTGAGCATTAAGCCCCTTTCAACTCAGCAGAATGTGGGAAATTGTAGTCAAATGTAACTGGCAAGCTTAAGGCTAGTTAATGCATGAAGGGATTGAGACCACAGAACTCTATTCATAGACTCAGGTCACGCTCCCTCACCTCCAGTGAAGAAGGAAGTGACCCTTCCTTTGTTTGGTCTCTTCCACCATGTGAAACTGACCAGGCAACATTGGTCCGGACTTGACCAATTCGAGCCCAGACTGTGTGCTCAGAAATATTTTTCTGTATTTTGTAACCCAATAATTTTCTACCTGTGTTCTTCTTGCTGCTGCATGGAATAACTCATGAGTCTGACCTTTGGAGTTTGTAAGTAAAGCATTTAAACTTACTACCAGTGTGGTCGGTTCATTGTGAGAGGGTTAGAGAAGGGAAGCACTGTAAGAGGACTAAGCAGGATATTGAAAGGGTCTAACAGCTTATATTCCTCACACTTCACTGAGCTGCATGATTCTGTGATTTTAAGGCTCTCTCTTGCTGGAGAGTGTGTTTAGTTCTGTGCTTTGGCTCTAGGGATCTAGCTAATTCTTTATTAACTCATCCCACAAAGGTGATTTATCTATATCTATATTCTCCACACACAGAACTTACTTAGTTCTGATTAAAGAAGCATAGGATAGGGCTGTCAGATTCTTAAAAGAGAAATCATAGTAAGGTTTATTTTCAGCAAACTACTTAAGCTAAGCTTAACGTAAACAGCTAAGCAGCACACTGCATTGAAAGGATCAGAATGACATGCATGCTAAAGTGGGAATTTCCTTGTCCTTTAGTTGACAGTATTAACATGCAGTCTGACTCACACAGCCCAGTAAAACTGAAAACACGCAAGGCTAAATCTGGTACCAGTCACTTTAAGGGAACAGTGAGAAATAAAATTTAAATAGCAGTAAATCGGCTTAAGTACAAGTATGTAGCAATTGGACTATGTTGTGTTCTAATCCCATTTATATTAAAAATGAAATTATGCCATTTACAAAGGGTGTTGGGCAAAGAAAGTAAACATTTCACTGATTCCACTGACTTCAGCAAACACTTCAGTGATCCAATTATGAGCAGAACTTTGGCTCAGCTTTTTACACAACCTAAAGTGCACTCTGTACCAGCACAGTGCTTTTATATATACAATATAAAGAAAAACTGGTGAACTTAAGGTGAAAAATGTTTTGGCACAATCCAGCCCAAATTAAGTGCATATATATAATGATTTTCAAACCAAAGTTAAGCGTTTTAGTGTCCTGTTCATTATAATGGGAATATTAAACATGCCTTTAGTTAAAAAGAAGATTTCCACGTGCGTATTGTAGGCTGTACATTTTTTTACTATTTGAATTTCAGAAGGGGATGGGGGGAAATGGTTTTAGCAACAAGTGGCTCTACCTAAGGCATTTTCTCTGGGGAAAGGTTTTCCAACCCTTTCCTGCAGAATTACCCATTTTGCAGACAAATCAGCCCACACAGCAGCCTGGTGACATGGTCAGAGGAAACATCTTGGTGAGACAGATGTGGCTCCTGAGCTGTATCTGCTTGTTTACCACAGCTTCCAAATATGCCATGTCACAAAAAACGCAAGATTCATAGCTTAATACATACCGGCACATCTTCCACAGTGGACACATGTGTGAACAGCTGTGTGTTCAGCCCTTCCCCTTCCCAATGGTTTGAGGAAAAGAAGTTTCCTGCTTTGCCTGTTGGAGACTCTACCTATAAGCAGAAAGCAGAGCAATGTTTCAAATATCAACAACTGACTTACTTTATCCCTATTTAGCAGTACCTGTAATTGTTATTTCCAGATAAAAGTTGGCCTACATCGCAATTTAGCTTTGTCAGTGTATATTAGTTCTTGAAAAGTCACTCTCTGTATAACATAACATTAAGTTCTGACATTCAGGATTAATTCAATTAAAGAAACAATTTAAACAATAATTTAAGCTCCTGGAAATCTAGACCGCAACTAAGTTCTTAGTGGGGCCATCAATGAAAAATTGTAGTCTTTTTACATTATGTAAAAGATTTGCAAGGCTTCACTGATTAACTTTCTTGTTCCTGAGAATTCCACTAAAGCCAGAGAGTATGAAATTTTTGAAATTAATGGTTTACAAGGCTCGACATAGTTTGTTGTATGTAAGGACCAGGATAATCTATTCTCAACATATAAAAATCAGGCACCAATTGTATACTTTTTGCCGTGGAAGCAATGGCCTTCTCTGAAAGACAGAAATGACAGGACAGTAGGCCCACAACTTACGCAGGCGTTACATTCCAGGGATCGCACCCAAAACCAAAATGGAGTATAGTCAAAACCCATTAAGTTCAATGGAGGATAGATGGCCAAAGTCGCCCCTTTTTAGTATTTGCCATGCGCATGAAGCTGAATGCGCACAAGTTAACTGCATGCAAGTGGCAGGCTTACTGTACTGTTTCTGTGACATATTATGGTTCACCTAATATGTTTGCTTACAAATATTTAAGATTGAGGAAATATTTGAACAATCTGATCCAGCTCCTGATGATCTTTAAAATTAAAACATGGCAAAATTGGCTTCTTGCCAGAGTAAGTGAATCAATTTAAGACGCTTCTGGGCAATGTGAGCCCAGTTTTAAGTGGTCTTAGATAAATATTGTTTAACTTGCCTCCTGTTTGATTTTCTTCAACAAAGGGGATCCATTTGCACATATGCCAGAAGCAATGTCAGTTTCATCGGACTCTTGTTTGATAACATCTTGCAGATCGTCTACAAGGTGAGCTGGTGTCTGAGGCTAAAAACGAAAAATAAGTATGCAATGAAACAACACAAAACTCTTTGTATCATCCTCATATAAATCCAATTTTTATCACAGTTTCCCCACCCCCCTTCTTACCAGCATTTTCAAGGGTCCATATTTGAATTCTTGAGCTGCGAGTGCATTTTTAAATGGAGTTGGTGTTCTTGGAGAGCTCTCCAATATTGATCTTTTGATAGCTGGAGTTCTGAAGCTGAGTCCACAAAAGGGGGGTGGGGGGAAGAGAAATTAGGAAGCAGTTTGAATCTTTTTGCTGAAATCCTAGTTTAGAGTAGCGTCACATTAAAAGGTTGACTTATGTACTGCAAAGTTCTATGTTCTAAACAGCCATGCGCGCTATGGGGATAATAATGAGGGCATGTATTTCAGGGGCGCTGTGGGCACTGCTGAAATAATGTCCACAAACAGCTTCAAGCACTTAGGAATAATGATGGCGGATGCAGAGTGCAATTTGGTTGGCTTTAAAAGAGGACTGGACAAATTCATGGATGATATGGCTAACAGTGGCTACAGCTGGAGGCAGAATTCTTATGAACACGTTGCTGGAAACTACAGGAGAGGTCTTCTGCTCAGGTCCCACTTGTAGGTTTCCCACTGTGGGAACAAGATACTGGGCCACTGGCCTAACCTAGCAGGATTTGCTTTTGTTCTAATTATATGTGCCCAGAAGGAGTTGGTATAAGATGGTAGGAACAACTGACCTAGTGGCCACCATACTAGTTCAAAAGCTACCCTACACATCTGGCCTCCTCATTCATGTCAATGGAAGGAGCAGCTCCAAATGGACAATGCTGAGCTGCCCTCCACTGAAATGAATGGGATGCTTACTTACAGAGAAGCTCTGTGTGCCCAACCAAAACCCAACAAACTCTGGATCAGGGTGAAAGAAATCAAGATGCATGTTCGTAGCCTATTTTAGCTGTTATAGTAGTATGGCAAAAGTGCATTTAAAAAATAATAATAAAGCAAGAGAAATTACATATTATTCTCCTTCTGTATCTTAAATGCTTGGTCTCTGTGAAGAGGTGCTGTAACAGTGAGTTTGTGAGCACAGAGGGGAGTGGAAGTTAAAGTTGGATTGTCCAGGTCCAGGCTTTCTTGGCTTGATGAGGTGTTCAAGAACTGCAAATATTAAAAAAGAGAGGGAATCTCAGTTAACACGAGTGCTTCTTCTACAAACTTACAGTGAAACTGTATCAACAGCAGCATCATGTTGTGTGGCAGTGAGTATTTTGGTTGCGATACTTCCAAAGTAAAGTTTCATATTTCTAGTGTTTGGCCTACACAAATATATTCCTTTGGTTTTGTTACAATATTATTTATAGAAACAAGTATTTGTTTTACCTCACTGAGTTTATTTGTCTTTGCAAAGAATGTCTAATAATATGAAAGAACCTTGGAGCTTGGTTCATGAGAAGTACTGGGTGACGTCTACCTAGGTCATGAGCAGAGTACAGCCAATGAAATCTATGGACTTGACTTCAATTATTTCAATGGGTCCACTCCAAATAAGTAAAGATATCACTCACTGAACTTTGTAGCATGAAATATGGCAACTAGATTTTTTTAAAAAATTAAACGTTCCTATTTTATCCATTAAAACTGATTGTTTTACTTTCACAGAACAGAAAGTAAAAGTTGCACAGAGCTTTTCAAAATTACTATTTTGATGTAAATATTTAATTTGCTGAAAAAGGGCTGCTACTGCAGAATTTAGGAAATAAACTTCATTAGCAGTAATGCCTGTCATTAACTCAGCATGTTGTTGTTTCAAAATCTATATGTTTAAGCAGAAGTCCACAAGCCACTTAAACCAATTCACATACTCTTAATCTGTTTAGCCCATTCAATGAGATGCATATACCTTAAATATATCAAGTAGTTTGTAACTCACACCTTACTGTTCAAAAATGTTTTCAAATAATCATTTATTTTAAATCACTTGTTAGTTTGCAACATAATTTGGACACCATTGTCTGTTTAGTGTAAATTTAGGGAGTCAGTGAACCCAAATGTGCAAAGTATGGGGTAAGAAAAAATGGTTACAGGAAACAGAAATGTTAAATTCTGATGGCTGAAGGAATGACAAGCAAGAGCAAAGCAAACAAACAAACCGCTAACCCCTTGAAAACCACCAAGAATAAGACACACAGAGAAAAGCAAATTTATCAGTTAGATTGTTGGCAGTCTAAACTCCATGGTGAAGAGTAAGCTATGAGTAAATTCAAAATTGGAGAGCAATCAGTGAGTGCAACAGGAATTAGTCATTCGTTCCAATGATTAGTTCTCCTATGTTGTTAACACCTTGCTGACTTTTGAGGATTAGTAAAATCTGTGCAGAAATCTTGCTCTACCTGCGAGGGAGAGAATGGCAGGCTTTTGCCAGGGGAGCGCTTAGGAGTTGAGCTCCTGACATCAGCAAGTATGAAGGACTTATGGCCACTGGCTAAGTGGCTGGGATGCCCTCTCTTTGTGCGCAGAAACACCAACGGAGCTGTGCCACATTTTGAGCCAGCCAAGGACTTGGGCAAGGCAAGGGAATCCTGACTCAACATGGCTTTGCTCAGGTTTGAGAGAGGGTGTCCTTCAGGCCTACATGCACTGGCCTCTGTTTGCTGAAGCTGTGGGGCTTTGGCAGAGGGAGCTTGGCTAGGCGAGGTGTCTGCTTCTTCAGAGAATTCAAAACTGCTGAGATCACCCCATGATGAAGGATCCTAAAAACAATGGGGGAAGTCACGAATCTATGAGACAGTGTATGATGCCCTCTCATTAAAAAAAAAAAAAGTATAGCACTAACATAACAACTTTAGTAAAAGGGAAACAAAGTAAAGGAGCCACTGTTCCTCATTTTTAAGTCATTTTGACCCAGTTTCAGTCTTTCCCGAATGAAAACTATCCTAATGGTGGATTCCTAAAAGAAGCAACTCTCCCCCTCCCTTACCAGTCTGTTACAGTCTGTGACCCATCTGCTTTATTAAGGAGGCAGGATTCTTAAGTGAAAAGGATACAGGCGAGCAGGTGATGCTGTCATAATGAATTTGTTTTGCCAAATGTTTGGTTTCAGCCCATACTTCTTAAAGAGCCCTATGTCAGTCTTAGAATTTCTACATGAAAGACTTAGAATTTTCAAAAATGACGTGTGATTTCTTGAAGTTTTCATAGAAGAAAATTATTAATGCAATGTGTGTTTCACAAAAAAGGAGGGATCCAAGAAGGTATGGAGAGTGTACAGTCACTTGAAATGGAACTAAAAATACACGTAGAGTTGTGTTGTTTTTTTTGTAATGTACAGTATGAATTCACTGTTAAAAGGCAGAACATATTCAGGAATAATTTTAAATATGCCAGCTCACTTAGAATAAATTTATCCTTTGTAGGTTAATATACAAGCAACCTGAAACACTAACAATAATGATTCTATACGTGCATGTTACATGCAAATGTTTACCTGTGCTTGATAAATATTGGGAGCCCACAAACAACACGCTAGGGCTAAATGCTCGGATCCTACCATGTTTATTCAGAAATAAGAGCCCATCTATTTAAATGAGACTTACTTCCAAGTAAGCTTGCATAGGACTGGATTATAAGTTGTAAATGTGCAGCAAAAAACAAAACAAAAACCAACTGTACTAAAGGTGGCCATGGTGAAAGTTTACCCTGGATATCGGATTATTCAGCAACAAAGCAAACAAGACAGACAGAATGTAAGAAAACAAATTGATATAGAAATAGCATATGACTTCAGTCCTTATACCAGCCACACCTTAGAAGATGACCATTCTACTTACGGAATCTATCAGCTGAAGCGTTTCCGCAAATTCTAAGAGATTCTTAACATTATCCAGGAAGTTACTCTGGTGAACAATCATGCACCTTGCAGGGGATGCACTTTCTTCCGGCAAGCAGCCATGATCCACTGGTGGAGATGGAATACAATGATGATGCTCCCCCAAAGAGGAAATGGGCGCACTGTTACCACTAGTTCTGGTACTGTCTGCAATTGCGGTGCTGTGCCATCCTGGGTAATCTGACGTGTGGTTCTGTGTCTAAAGGAAGGGGGAAGGGGGGGTGGTAAAGAGGGTGCGAGAAAAAAGAGGCAGAAGGAACTTAGCAAAGAAATTGCACAAGGTATCGGATGGCTGTTGAAGGAAAAGATAAAAGTAGTTGCATCATCTAAGCACTTCATGCCCATGAAACAGTTGTCAAGATGTTTCCTTTCATCAGTGCAGCAAGAGCTTGTTTGAAAGGGTAATAAATTTATAGCTTTCATTTTGGCATTACCTCATCTTGTGCAACAACTCTGCATCCTGGGCCAGTATCTACAGTATAACAAGCAATACAGCTACATGCATACACTCTTCTTCCAAAGTCTGTGAGTGCACAAATCTGTTTTTCCTTCCCTGTGCAAAGTAAGGAAATTGCAAGATTTCCCTAGTGCAAAACTCGGTCTTATCTGTACTTTATGGATTTAGATTTTGAATTCCACATCATGTTTGAAGTCACTGGCAACTTTTCCATTGGTCTTTGCGGATTTAGATTAATACCAGTTACTTATTTTTAATATACCTCCCCTCATCTTTGACCTATCTCTGACTAGCGCTACAGCTTACACCAATGCAATGAAAAGGCTGTAAAATCAACGCGGTTAGGAAAGCAGAAGAGCAAATTAACAGAAGTCTCTTTGCAGCATAACCATGCAAGAGAAGGCATTGCAAAACTTCAACTAAAAATTAGAAGTGGCCAAACTAACATTTCATGCACACGGTTGTGTTCCCCCCCATTAACTAGAAAATGAATTAATTATTAATATGAATTAATTAGACGTAGATGTTTCCTGCTGGCTATCACCCAGGTTTTTGTTTTTTTCTGCAGTTCCCGTATTAATTTTATTACATATACAAATTCAGTAATAGCCAGCTCTGGGTTTCATACATGCAGTTACAGAATCTAACTTTCCTCAGAGAAACATTACCAAACATGCATAAAAAATAAAATAAAAAATGGACCTTATTTGGGCTGTGATTCCCAAACCATTTGGTCTGGAGCAATAGTCCTGTCTCCCCAACGCCAATTCAAGACTATGTATTCCCAACTTGCAGGGCGTGTGGCACAAGTGGCCCCGGGAGGAGGATTCTGTGGCATTCTGGAACGGAGGAGACAGGCCCAGCGGTGTGGCCAGTGCAGAGAGACATACTCTGCCTGCCCCCTTCCATGCAGCTAGACTTTGCTAGCTAGAGGGGAAGCCACTCCAAGCTTTGGGGCAGGGGTGAGGTTCTGAATACATACAAGTAGCACTCTTTAGAGCAGCGGTATGCTTCGTACTCTGGACTTGACTTGTGCCACATTTGCCGAAAAGAGTGAGCAAGACCGCCTACAATGGCTTGAGGATCACAGGCCAGGAGTGCAACATATAGCTGAAGCTGAGGAATATAGCGCAGAGAGAAAGAGAAGAAAACCAAGAACCAGGCACTACATTTTCATTATGCACAATGTTCGGAAGTTATCAGAAACAATGATGTCCCCTCAGGATAAAACCTGATGGGAACTGATTGTTGCTGTTCTTTTTTAAATAGCAGTCCATTTACACATAAAAGCAAACATGGTGGAATTAGTGCACCACTGTAATTTGGAGATGGGGGGGAGAGAAGCAAATGCTTATGGGGGCGTGGAGAGCAATGTGATGTCTCGTCCTCTTCAAATGGAAATATAGAGCCTTGATTAGTGTCAGAAGAAGAGGGGGAGGGAAAAGGGGGGAAAGAGAAGCACTGGGGTAAAGCTGCTATCCCTCCGTCCAAGCACACAGTGACATTCTTACTGGTAATGCCTGTTGCCCTTTCAGTTCATTCTCAGTCGACATTAGTAGCAACTCTAATTCCTTTATTCGTTTTTCTTTCTCAGGGTCTTCATCATTATAGTGTCTCTGCAATTAAGAGTTAAGGGAAAAGAGAAGGTAAAGGCCGGGTTGGATGCTGCAGTTTACAACGATGACGATGGCTTGCGGCCTCGCAGAATCGCAGGCAAATTAGCCTGAGAGGCTCCTCCACTGGACAAAAAACCCCGGAATCTCTGCTTAATTTTATTTTTTTGCACAGGTATTAAAGTGCAGAACACAATACCTATTTTCTGGATGCCTCCTGCGTACCAAACTAGGGAACCTAAGAAACCATTCCAGATCACTTTCCCTGGCCACCTTTTTAAAGAAATGAGTAGACCTCCTCACCATGATACAACTTCTTTCTGCCAGTGTGCAAACAAAAGCACTGGGTAGCCGCTAACTGTGGTAAGCAAACTGGAAGCCTTTCTCAGGACGTGTGCCCTTCCTTACTTCCTTTCCTGGAGCAATTGATACCCTCTTCTCCTAAACTGCAAGTTCACCTTCAGCAATGTTGACTCTGGTGAAAGCTAACCAGGGGTTACTCTAAAACCAGGATCTGAAATCCACGCCAATCTGTGGCCTTCAGATTTTTAGAAAGGGAAACCCATGTTTAGCCCTAAGCTGAAAACCACGATGAGAATCTGCTCAGTCACCAAGGTGGGGGAGAATTTGCTCCAGGAAGCAAAGGAGCTGTGAGGAGAGTGTGTGTCTTCTCAAGGCTGGCACCCAAATTGCTGGAAACATGGCTGCCCAGGCCCTTCTCTATCATTTACTTTGTTAAAAGAGCTGTGCCTTTGTCTGATTTTATTTTTTGGCAGGTTAAGGTATTTGCATGTAACTTGCATATGAAATGTATGGCAAATGGACCCCTGAAATGGTTTTTTAATTTATCTACCTGAATAGCTGCAGCAGCTGGCTGGGGAACATTAACAATATTTACATGAAGTGCTACTGGATATGGGATCTGAGAAGAGACCTAGACCGAAAGACAAAGAGAGCCCAAATTAATCATGCTGTTCACACACTACTCAATAATGTGATGGGCTTAAGTAACACACACACACACACACACACACACACACACACACACACACAGTACTTCTTATGCCAATCTTTCTACCTCCTTCAAATAAAAGAGGTATCTCATTTTAAATGCAACAAGTTCAGTAATGCTTTTAGGAATTCTCAAACTATAGTGATCCATTGATCAATCAATAACACCCTCCCAACCATCTATTGCTGTTTTATTAATTACTAATTTTTAATTTGTTTTTGGTTACTGGATTATTTTGCAGGCCCGGATTGTATTGATTTTTATGGGGTTGTGAGGTTTTCTGTATTGCATTAATGAATGATTGTGTCTTTTGTACTCCTGGCTCCTCCTTGAGAAATGTGCCTAATTAATTTCATAAACAACAACAAAATGGACAGATGGCATCAAGATCGCTTGTGTTGGGCTGAAGGCTAAGCATCTCAAAATAAAAGGGGATAACAGGCCCACAGCATGATTTTTAATGCCCCAGAGAAGGAAAAGGAAAAGAAAAAGAAGCCTTGTTTATGGGCTTCCCAGGAGCATCCGAATGGCCACTGTTGAAAACAGGGCGCTGGACTAGATGGCACCTTTGGTTCAATCCAGCAGGCATCTAAGAAGACATGTTTCCCCACCCGTTACAACTACTTGGTGGATTGTAATACAGACAGACCATCAGATCCATTGCATGTATGGCTCCGCATACATCTAAACATGAGGAAGAATATAGAGAAAGCAGTCTGTGTTATAACCCACCATTCAGTAACAAAGTATGACAAAAATTGGATACCAAATTATCCTACACGTGCTTCCACTTAATTAATTAATTATCTGCTCTTTATCTGTAGATCTCAGGGCAGTCCACAACGTAAAATTACAATACGTCTCATGAAAGAATGTCCCTGTGAGTTCCTGCTATCAAGAAAAGCTAAATACTGTAAAGCAGACACCTCAGATGCTGTGACAAATAAAAAAATTAAAAAGAAAAGGAAGACGTGTTTAAATTGCAACCAAATGGTCCAGTATTTGACATTTTGTATTTACTGGCAAAATTCTGAGTGGGTTCTCTCTGTATTATCGATTTTTGCCATATATCATATGGACTGCTATATTCTGTAATAAAATAATAACATTACAAACATAATAGAATCATAGAATTGTAGAGTTGGAAGGGATCCTGAGGGCTATCTAGTTCAAACTAGATTCATATAATCTTAGATTCATATAATCTACTTAATAATGACTATGAGTTTATGATTACTTATAACTATATAACTTATCAGCTATAACTACTTACTTCACCTGCAGCCAAATTGTAAAGGAGTGGAAGTCTAGAACAGGAGAATGCTACAGGTTTAGACCCCACAGAGGAAGTACAACTACTCAATTATTACTTTCTATTATTATTATTTCTATCAATTATTACTAATTAAGTTATTAAAAATGCTTTCACACAAAAATATGAGAATAGGCGTGTCCACCTATCTTACATATGCCTATCACTGTTGTCTGAATTCCATCCTCTTCATGGAGTGCATAGTTGTAAAATTAAAAACATTGAATGATATCTAACGTAACTATACTGAAGAGTAGAGCCATTGAAATAAATGGATTTACATTACTCAAGTCCACTGACTTCAGTGGGTTTAATTCCAAGCAGTCACACCTCATTCATTGTTTTAAAAGAGTGAGGCCAAGCAATTATAACCATGCCTACTCAGAGGCAAGTACCAATGAATTCAATGGAGCTTACCACCAGGTAAGTGGAGTTAGCACCGCAGCCATTATGCCTCTTACAGACAATTGCTAACTTGCATCCTTCCCAGCCCTAGCAGGTGGTCTGGGCACTGCTGATGCTAAAACTATGTACATGTGGACTTGATTAGATCTTCATATGAGAGACCACAATGAACCTCGTGCAAAAGTAAGATATAGCAGGATATCAATCATATTAGCCTCCCTTTCTCCATTCCTGCCATGGTCATGCATGGCAGTTACAATATCTCAATGATGGGGAGACCTAGCTGTCAACCGATTGAATTGTTTCCATCAGCTTACATTCTGTGTCTCAGAAATGTGGTAATAGGAGTAGTCACTGGTGGCTGGGGTCGGGGTGGAGGTTGGCAGCTGCACAGAAGGTGGGGTGTGGGTAAAGCCCATTAAATGGTTGTTCTTTGGAAAACTTGTGGCTACTGAAGGCTGGCTGACTTTGGAAGACTCCTGAAGATAACCTTCCTGTTCAACCTTTCGCCGCATTGTAGAATTCCAGTGGTTCTTGATAGCATTATCAGTTCTGCACAAGAACACAGGCATATAAAGAAGAAAGATTAATATGAAATCGAATGCTCAGAAATGGTTAAGGTTAACTGACAGGAGAGAGCAGTTAACATACAACATTACCATCGTCACTTAGGAATCTCCTTTGCACTTTAATAGCGCTTATATTGGAATACGTCATTCGGCTCACATGGGCTGAACTTCTGCTACAAGCTCACAACAGACGGGTTTTTACTGTTGTCAAAATATGCAACTATCCACACTGCATTTCATTAGTGCCCTGCTTCTGTAACTGGCAGCAAAAATTAAATAGGTAAAGCAGTGACATAAAAAACAAACAAGTCTCCCTGAATTCCTGATTTCAGTTCTGAAGTCAACTCCTCCTGCCCCTTCTCTTACATTATGTTCCACCTGGATAAATTAATCAGTCCAGTTGCACCTCATCCTCTAACATGTGACGCAACAGGCACAACCTCGTGATTCCTTGACGCACTAAGCCCTACAAGCTTGTCAAATACAGCCATTCCAAAAAGAACTCTGTAGCATTCCACTGCTGCATGGAGGCAATGCAAAGTGGTCATCCTCCAAGCAAACATACTAGAAAATCGAAACCCGTTCTACAGTCAACGAAGCAAACATTTTTGCTCTTCTTGGGTTTGGGCTTTATTTGTGGTTACCCCAAGATGATTGGAATTCATCCAAGGGATGTTTACAAAAGTCCTTGATGCTGGGAAGTTCTGCGGGCCTAAAAAGCACGAGAGTGTAGTGTTCTCTCCTGACCTACCCTGGTGGATCTATTAAGTTTAGGGAGTGAGGGAGTATAGATCTGGGAAAGGGCAAGATGAAGCAAGAGTTAATCACTCTCTCCTAGAGCATCATTTCCTTATCTTCAAAGGATTTCCAAGGCCTGAAGTGGGAGGTCCTGATCACAGATCTCCTGTGTCATATTTAGTTTTCACCTCACTTAACTTCCAGTCTTGGGACACAGCTTGTTAGGGCTTATGTGACTATGGGAGATCAGCAAGTCTCACGCCCCACACAATTCATACTATGGTAGAAATGAGTCGAACACATATTTCCTTCCGTCTTTGTAACATATGAAGACGTCATAACATTATCAGGCAAGGTCTTCTGTGTCACTGGAGATCCACACAGCCTTAAATCATCCGAGACGTTATTTCACAGAGGACCCCCAATAGCTTCCGCAGACTGCCTGTTCTATTGACCAGATACAATTTAGAAAACTTCCCCTACAATTAAAGCTAAAAGTTGGTTGCTGTAGCTTTGTATCAACTTATAAAATAATGCACAACACTTTGATCTCATCAGCTTGGCCATGCACTCACTTGCATTCATTAGGAGCAAAATTCATTAGGAGCATTGCATTTGTTCTGCTAAGACGACAAAATACAGAGTTTCATCCACTCATCTCCCATCTCCACCCCAGTCTTTCCTTTAAAGTGCTACTCTCTGTCATTACCGTCCAGGAAGCAACTTTGCAATTTCTGCCCATCTGTTTCCCAGTCTCTTGTGTGCTTGGTAAATAATTCTATCTTCTTCCTCTGTCCAGGAGGTTTTTTTAACTTCTGGATTCAAATGGTTGTGCCATCGCTCTCTGCATTGTTTCCCGATCCTTCCTTTCAAGTGCTTAGCGATGACAGACCAGCGCTTGGGACCGTATTTCTGCACCAGCTCTATCACCTTCAAACAAGCACAAAAACAAGTAAAGTGCCACCTCTAACTTTCAGGTGTTATGCTATGGGACCAAAACGCAATCATTCTCTTATGTTTCATGGAAGATCAGGGCTGTGATGTGCATCAGGAGTTTAGATAGGCCAGCATTATTATACAGGAAGAAAAATGGGAATAAAAACAGGTGCAAAACTTATCAGGGACTAAAGAAGGCAGCTGAGTAGGAAAAGGCGGCATCCTATTAATTATCTTGCCATTATGGCTGCCTCATGACATTTCCAGACTATCACAAATTTTGGGTGAGATTCTTGCACAACAAATCCACTCCCCCACAAAAATCCTCCCAGACTTTTGTGATAAGGAAAGTAAAGGGGGAAAACACACTGGACACAACATACAATGTTCCCACAGATTAGAATTAGTTATCAATCAATATTCCACATAATCTAACCTCCCCACAAACTTTGTGCAAACAAAACAGGATGCCTGGAATCACCTCTTGTATAATTATTCCCAAAGTATTCCCCAAAGATGGGAGGGAGGATTTGGGCTCAAAAACATGAGGCTTGCCTAAGGCCATCTAATGAGATAATAACTGAGACTCGAGTCAGGGACTTCCTGGTTCGCAGCTCAGTCTCTCAACCATTCTGTATTACACCACATCTCAAGTGGACAGTTAAGCAATTATTTAAAGTGCTGCTGGAAAAAATGTTAGGGGCTGTAAAGATCAATTATTAAATAACTTAAATTACAGGTATTATTTCATCAAAGTGGATGTAGGTTGGCTGCACCCAACATTTAATGCTGATGGAACGATTAGATTAAAATAATATTGTTAACTTACTCGCTGATCTTCTTCTTTAGTCCACGGGCCCTTAATAAGTTCTGGATTTAGTACCTTCTGCCACCGATGCTGGCACTGTACATCTGTCCGATTCTAACAAGCCAAAAAACCCCCAACAAATTATTACATAATTGCTACAGCTGCGTGAAAAAATGCAACTTTGTTAACAAATGCCCCACAGATGCAATTCTGAGTCATGATATTGCAGTATTTACACTATTATTCAGCACGCATGCTGCCTCTGCAAGTAAAATCTTTACATTTTATTGCTTACATCACCATTAAAACAAGCAAGGATCAGGCCACTGATAGAGGTAAAACTGAGATGGGGATCTTCCAAAGGAAGAGTTGGACACTATGACAGCTTCAGCTACAAAAACCTTGCAGCGCCTTCTCATATTAATTTTTGATTGTAGACAGCAGACAGATACCATAGTTGCATACTAACCTACCAGCTATTCGTTAAAAATGAATATATAATAAACTTTACCTGCTGCTTCTCAACAAGTGTGTCAGAAATTACCAGCAGAACCACACACTTAATAAGCAAGAGCAACCACGGATCAAAGCCAGTTTCTATTCTGCATTGATGCTTTTTTGTTCCATTGAGAGACTGATAGATAGATGATGTACCAACCATCTGTTTGTATATAAAATCCCCCCCAAGGCTTTTAACATTTCTCCTTCCTCCATTTCATGAGAAGTGAAAGAAAGACATTTAAATGTTGGGTATACATGGTGAAGTTCTGCAAGCCTCCCAAATTGCTATAATTGTATTAAGTCCCCATCTGTAATTATGAAACAACCTGCCCTGCTTTCACCCACTGATAAATGTGTGGTTATAAACAGAAAACGAGGCCTACTTACAGGAAGGAAATTGGCAATAACTTTCCAATCTTCTGTGCCATTCTGCTCCACAAGTTTCTTTAGCTTCTCATCCTAATACGTTTCAAGAAAAGGTGATTTAAGTTCATCTGACTTGTGTGTGTGCATGTGAGTGTTTTAAAAGTCAATACTATGCATTGCTGATTGTCATAACATCTGTCAACAAGGAAAAGGAAATCTCTAGTTTGGTTGTTCTAGGCATCTTGCACACTTTTTACGAGCTATTAGCAAGATTTTGCAACTTCACTGAAATAGTGTGTCATTTGCTATTTTGGAATTGTGAGCCAGCACCAGAAGACTAAAAAGCCAGTATACTGTATGGAAGAAAAGGCAAAGTTGAATTACAGCGGAACTTTGGTTCTCAAACGGCTTAGTTGATGAACAAATCGGCTCCTGAACGCCAAAAACCCAGAAGTAAGTGTTCCGGTTTACAAACGTTTTTCGGTAGCCGAATGTCCGATGCGGCTTCCGCTTGAGTGCAGGAAGCTCCTGCAGCCAATCAGAAGCTGCCCCTTGCTTTTGGAATGGTTTCAGAAGTCAAAAACCAAGATTCCACTGTAACTGATCAGCCTTCTTCAAAAGTCCCTTCCTAGTAGCTTAATAAAATGAGGCCACAATCCTACGTACATTTATTCAGCATCACAGGCTAATACAGCCAATTCCACCAGATTTTTGAATCTAATGTATGACCTACTATACTCTTCACTTAGAACTACTTAGTGCACCACCCAACCACTGACGTGCCATTAGTGGCCATGCCGTGAATGAACATAAAGCATTATCTTGGATGACATGATCGTTATATAGGAACCTTACACAACGAATAGGAAAATTCTGCACAGGAACATTCTGTTCCATCCTTCCTTCAACTAGCACATATTGACGTACATTTTGTATTCACAACAACACAGCAAACTAAGCTAGGCTGAGAACGACACATTGCAATGACACTGAAAAGAGCAGCCCTGTGTTGTGCTTGTCCTTTTCTTTGCATGTAATAAAATGTACCTCGCTTTCCGATGTTACTATTCCCTACCCCGTATGATGGGCTAAAGGTGGCAGGGAAACACACAGTGAGATAATGCAACTTTCACTAAATGTCCTGTAAGGGGGGAATTCAATGTATGGGTGGTCTTGGCAGCAGCCCCATCATTATCGTAACATGCAGTTTCACCCACAGCGACTTGCCAAAAGCCACTCAATGAACTCCATGGCCAAACAGGAATTCAAATGCAGCTTTCACCATTGAAGTTCAACACTCTTTGTAATTGGGCCAATGGGGTTTCCAACATTATGCCAACCAACCGCATGGAGCACTACCATGAAGGAACACTTTGCACTTGCAGTTGGGGTGTTATGTTTTAATTGACACCCACCCGCCACTGCCATTATATTCAAGTACTGGCTTAATTAATTTGTTGATTGGGCAGCAAGACAGCAATCTCCATACTATTTCTGAGTATTCTCACTGACAACAAATGCATTAATCTAGCAAAATTATTTGGGAACTGCTGTCTTGTCTCAATAACCTTTACTGAAAATTTAGGAAGCATAACACTAGGCCCCAAAGGCTATTTAGGAGGAATGAGAGTTCTGCAACAAACAGCCTAAGCTTTTACAAAAGCATTTGGGAAGTGACCTGCTAATGTTTACACAGCAACATCAGTGCATGATGTTAATCAAGCCAAAACAGCTTTATGAAAATTGAACTGCACAGAAATAATGGAAGTTTAAATAATGATTCTTGATACTGCCAAGTGATTCTTTTCCCCAGTACAGAAGCTTATGCTGAAAATAAATATATGAGTGACAGTGTGAAAAAATAACTGAGGCTTATAGCCACTTACCTGGGAGAAAGCCCACCCACTGGGAGTTAGTTCTGAGTATTCAACTCTCGCATTTAGACTGCTATCCTGTTCACATTTACCTATTAGTAATATCTATTGAAAGTAATGAGACCAGGTTGCAGTGCGCTTGATTGCTTTCCAAAAAGGAGATAACATATTGAAAACTAGACTGGGTAGTAGATAGTCATAGTTCTTCAGTATCTTAAGAGCTGCTGTTCTAAAAATGCAGCTCGGTTGTTCAGAAACTCCAGTGGGTCCTACTGGTTTGGAGTATATTAAACAAATGGTTCTGAGGTCTTTCGTAAGGGATCAGCCTTTCAACACCATTTGCTTTTGTTTAGTAGCTCCTGACTAAATTAGTAGTTCCCAACTCTTTAACAGTCTCATTATATATTCCTTTCTCATCTAGAAAGGATCCATAGTTTCTGCTCATCTATCTGCTGTAAGGCATTGCTATCTTGGTTCCTCATGCAGCAACCATTAGAAACATGAAGCGATGACACTGATATCAACCAAAGAGAGCCAAAGGGCAACCTTAGTATGTCCACGCTTCATTACTTTATGACCTGACCTTATGAAACAGTGCAACCCACCCATGTATAAATTTATAGAGCAAATAATGTTCAGTGATGTTTTCAATGGCCCTGGATAACTTCAGCTCAGGTGCATGCCAGTTTGCAAACTTGTATGGCATAGTTGACCAGTTGGCCACATATAGGTCTTGTGCTATGGCTACAAATATGGCCTTACAACACAAAAGGAGATAGTGAGTGTGCCCCATCCCAGTACCTTCCCCATTCCACATAAGTCAATGGAGTGATTGCTGCTCTGCTGCCTTCAATGAAGAAGGGTTGGCGGTGTGTGCAAGTGTGTGCGCGCACATTGTGCTCCCAAGTGGGAGAGAAAATACGGCTCTATTAAGGCTTTTCATACTTCCTTTCCTACTTCCATTGCTCCTGGGTGTCCCTCATCTGTTCCAATTCCGTGACATAATAGCTACATCAAAAATATCCGATGACCATGTAAGAGCAACTACTGAGTAGCAATGACTGAAGTAGACCAGAAGTGGCTTTCTCAGGAGTAGGGGTGGAGAGGCTCAGTGCTAGCTTCTCAGCAGGTGCGTCACTGCTGCTTACCAGGAGGTGGAGGGACGAGGCAGCTAGTGTGGATGCTCCAGCAGGAGTGCCCAGTTGGCACCATTGGTGCACCTGCATTGCAATGAAACACCTGCTGGGAAGCTAGCATTGAGACTCCGCCCCACCAAGCAAGCTGCTTTGGAAGTAAACTAATTATACATGTCATAAGGATTTCCCTTCAAAATATGTTGTTGGTTTGTGCAAGCTTCTTTGGATATAACCCAAACAATCTTTCCACCCCTCCTCCCAAGAAGTCACCTATAAAGCCGCCTCCCCAAAAAGAAATCTTCAGATGATTTAATTGGCTATTGTCCTTTGCTTTCAAATTTACTTTTTCAGAACAAAAAAAACAAAGCTACCTTTCTAGGTACAGGCCTACTCAAGGCAGTTGACAAGGAATTTTAACAGGCCTAGGCTCACATTTCTTAAGAGGAAGCAGCTTCTATTCTTGTACTTAGGAGAAGCCAAAGCAACTGAGACTAGGAGTTTTATCCACACCTTTCATAAGAAACATAAGAGGAATCTTCCTGGATCAGACTGAAGGCCCTTCTAGTCCAGCATTCTGTTCTCAGTGGCCAACCAGATGCCCATAGGAAACCCATAAGTAGAATCTGAGCACAATGGCACTCTCCCACTCATGTTCTCCAACAACTGCTATTCAGAAGTATAGCGCCTTCTGGAGATAATATAGCCATCCCAACTAGCAGCCATTGATAACCCTATCCTCACTTAAGCTTGTTGTAATTCACCTTTTAAAGAGTCATCCAGCTTAAGTGGTCATTGCTACATCCTGAAGTACTGAATTATATCATTCTATCTATTCATTGTGTGAAAGACTACTTCTATTTGTCTGCCCTGAACTTTTCAGCTGTTTACCTCTTCCCGGGTCCACCGTGTTTTCCCTAAATGGCGTTTTCCACCCTTGGGCAGCAGACCATCATAGTCATGATCATATACCTCCAGGTCTTCATCCTCATCATCGCTGCTGTATATGCTGGAGAAACAGAGCACAAAGACAAAACAGGGTGAAATGCAAAGCTGTTTAGAATGACAGGATTTGCAAAAAACTAAAACTAAAAGGTTATGAGGGTAACTGTTTGGAAACTTGCACTGCAAGATTTTGTTCTACATTCTGTTCCTAGTATTCTGAACTGGTTATGCTGTTTTTGGTATCCACAGATACAAGCGAAAGGTTGGCAACTTTCTTATTACTGTGCATGTTTAGACCTGCTCATACTGTTAGATCAGTGGCAAATTACACACTTGGCAGCCGTTCAACCAATGATGGTTTCAAATTAAAACGCAATGTTTAGGACAATAAAGAGAACGGAGGCTGTGTCCTTTGCCCAAGTACATACTCAAAATCCTTAACTTATGCCAGATCACTTGAAGAATGCTCTATGCTTTCACACAGTTGATAAAGAAGCTTGCATATTCAACTCCCAGGTGATAAATGCTGAAGGGCTGGGTATTTTTTAAAAGGAAATACATTCAATACTATACTTTGTCAAATAATGAAAAGACTAATAGCCTGATCCTATGTACACTGATTCAGAAGCCGTGCTGAGTTCAACTTGACTGATGCCAAGGAAAGCTGCATTTCACCTGCACACTTACTTAGGTGTAAGGCTGCAACTCCAAACACCCTTACAAGGAAGTAAGTCCCAATGAATTCAGTGGCACTCGCTTCCAAATAAACATGCACAGGCTCAGGCTGCACAAATGCACAGAACAGCAACCTAATGAACATCAGAGGGCAAAGGCTTCTCAAAACAAATGAAATGTACAGACATCAAGTGATCAGGCTGTTTTGTAAATGAAAAGCAGTACCAACAAGTCCACAATTCATGGCCAACTACAACTATAACTTGAGGACAAATGCACAATCTGAAAACTTCACAGCACTGAAGTGAACAGTCACATTACTTAATTATAAATAGTTGTCTTGTTTCTAGTCCACCTGAGGTATTTTCAGCTGCTGATTGAACCCAGATCTCTCCCAAGGCAGCAGTGAGTGGAAACAATCACAAACATCCAGTTTAACCCATCGAGTTCAGTAAAGTTAAAACAAAGTGTGTTGCAACACAAATGGCCTTACTTCATTTCTATTGTGCAATGTTTTATTTCTAACTTTATAACATAAACATAACTTTTGAAACCTCCGCATACTAACTGTAAATGCAGTAGAAAAGAACACACGGATGATTTATGGCTAATTATGCTGATATGTGAATGGGATAAACCTCAGATGCAGTTTAAGCATGTGTTTTGAGGAGGGGGGGGGGGAGCTTATTAAAGCAATCCTGACAAACACCGGAACAGGAACTAATGGCTAGGAGCCTCAGCTAGTTACACAGGTGGAGAGTAAATAGGATTACTCAGAAGCAGTGCCTTGAGGGTTGCATGTTAGTAGCTGTAGTATCAAGCTTTTCTTTTCTGCTACCACAGTTTCCAAATAAAGGTGAAAGGAATTTAGATGTTCTACAGATAAAAATTGTATCATTGTTTTTATCAGTAGAACACATGGCATGTGGTGAATGCCAAAGCCATTACACTACTATATGAAAAATCAGAAGTCGATTTTGAAAACTACAGAGATACATCTGCTTAAATTGAGACTTGCTCATGAAAACCTAAGTCACCTATTCAACTCATATCTCAGGACAGGGGTGACCAACCTTTTTGGACCAGTGAGCACATTTCAAATGTTGAGAGCATCCTGGGGATGCCTAGCACAAAATAACTGCTATGGGTATGTGTGGCACAACACAAAATTGGAGCGATGGACATCCCCAATACCCTTATGCTTAAGCAGAGGAAGTCAGCTATGTCCTGCAGGTCCTGATTGTGGAAGTCACAAATTACTGATTTTACATACAGGCAAACAAACAAACAAACACACACCAATGTTGTTGATGTATGTTGTTGCAGTGTTGCTGCAACAGGGAATATGACTCAGTACCAGGAAAAAGATACAAGGTGGCCACACCACACTCACTTTCATTTCACAGAAATTGCTCAGAAAGCACCTGCACATTTTGCCCCACAACTTTCATTCTAGGGCAGCTAAAGACTTTAAATAAATAAATAAATGTTCAGAGTTTGGAGCACCTTCCCAGGGGCACAATTAAAAGCATTTATGGACACCATGGTTCCCACAGGTGCTAGGCTGGTGACCCCTGTCTTAGGATCTCCCATCACTAAACTATTGCATGCCATTCATCAAGTAAGCCTTGCTAAGACTATGTTGTTTATGGAGAATTCAACTTAGGAGACCTTAAATTTGGATTCAAACTCGGGCACATTATTGGAGATAAAAAACACCATCAGCAGACTACCTGCTACCAGACTGCTCAATTTCAAAATGTAGGTACATCGAACATCATGTTTTCATGGGAGGGGAATCTGTGGCCCTCCAGTTGTTGTTGGATTCCAACTCCTATCAATCCCAGGAAGGATGACCATGGGTCAAGGAGGATGGGAGCTGCACTCCAGCAACATCTGGAGAGTCACAGGTTCCCCATATCTATCCCTGGTGAGTATGTTTTATTAATCACTACCATACCCTACAACAGTTGTGGGGAATCTTTGGCTCTCCAGATACTGCTGAACTACAACTCCCATCATCCCTGACCCAACGCTCCCCATGCTTACCCTAGAAGAACCTTTCACCATGGCACATTAGCTTTGTACATGCAGGGAGAAAGTTATCTGGGTGAGCCCTGGTCTCTAACCATAAATCTAAAGTGGCACATTTCTGCAACAGATACATCATGTAGGACTGCTGGTCATGCAGCTTGACCATCACTCATAGCCGTGGGTGAGATGCCCGGTTCTCAGCCTCAATTTCCCATGCATAAAAATGAAATGATGGCTAGTCACTTTACGGGGCTTTGAGAAATCTAAAAGTGCTAAGCAAGTAACTAAAAACTGAGGGTACAGTCCTACAGCTTTAAAGGTATCTCCATGCTACAAGCCCCAGCGATTGCATCACCAATTACCAGAGGCCAGAACAGTCTGTCTTCCACAACACCAACACGTCTCTACATTATGTGCCTGTTATGGGCTTAATTGTAAGCTGCCTTGGGAGGCAATCCTGGCTGAGAAGCAGAGTTCAGATGCAATAAATAAGTAATGCACAGTAGTGGGCCAGGCCATGAGGTGCAGCTGCCCTCTTGACACCAGTGAGATGGAGCTTACTTGGACAGGGTTGTGCAGGGTGACAGTGAGATTGGAGCTGTGCAGGCAAACTGGCAGGAATGCCAGATTGGTTCCACTGGTTGTGCCTGCATGGCCTTCATCTTGCTGCCACCCAGGGAAGCTGCAGAGATGTCAGGAAAGGTCCACGGCTATGCCTCACGACACAGGCTGCTACTGATATTCTGCTGTGTTCCTTTTCTCAAAAAGTAGCTTGAGAACTCCCACCACCAGTCATATGCTATAGCCCTCCCCTGACTGTGATCAGGAAACATGCAAAGGGATGAGCATGTTCAATCCCTGCACCTTTTAGAACCCTGTTTTCTAGGGCTACAAAATACTCAAGGAACATATCTGAAATACTCGAGGAACATGTTGCAGTCAGTCATGATTACAGGACACATAATGCAAAGCCATGGTTAATGGTAGGGCTGCCATTTCAAAGGCGGAATTGACGTCCGGGGGGAATTTCCGAAAGGCAGCAGTTTGTCTTGGATCTTAGGCAAGTCAATAAAAAAAAAAAAAAACTCAACAAGATTTGTCTTTTAAAAAAAAAAAGCTGAGGTAGCTGGTAGACAGTTGTTGAAACATATACACTCTTCTGCCATTAAAGAAAACACAAGCCAGGAAGAGCAGCTCTTCACTTTAGATTTTAGGCAGTGGCAGCTCCTTAACTGTAGAGTGTACCTCGGGTTACATACGCTTCAGGTTACACACTCCGCTAACCCAGAAATAGTGCTTCAGGTTAAGAACTTTGCTTCAGGATAGGAACAGAAATCAGGCTCCGGCGGCGCGGCAGCAGCAGGAGGCCCCATTAGTTAAAGTGGTGCTTCAGGTTAAGAACAGTTTCAGGTTAAGAACGGACCTCCGGAACGAATTAAGTACTTAACCTGAGGTACCACTGTAGTTAATGTGGAGGTCTGAGTTCACACATAATGCTATGGTTAACGTTAACTACAGTTTATAAATCAGCTACAAACCTTGGTCAGCAAGCAACCTTGAATCATAGTTTAATAAACCCCAGTTAAGCAGCTGGACTGGGTTCCTACGGAATACTAAGACATGAAGCTGGAATCTTATGAACAGAGGGCATTGCTTCTGGATATGCAAACATAGGCTGGTGCTGTTTGTCCCATTGAACCCAGTACAGTTTAATTCAGCTTTGAGTATAGTTTTGCTGTTTTCAATATAACTGTCATAACTACCTTTATCTGGATCTGGGCCTTTATGATTAGGTCACTATTTGAGTGACTAATAGCCCCATCCTATGTATATTAAGTAGCAGTAACTCCCACTGCTTTCAGCTGGGAGTAAGCAATGAAACTTAATGTGCTTAATGAATAAGCGGGGGCTTATTCATGTTGTAAGCCAACTTGAGCATGGTTTTAACTATGGAAAGGCTGCATACTAATAAAATTATGTATGTTTGTATGTATGACTCATAGAACTGTAGAGCTCGAATGGACCACAAGGGTCATCTTAGTCCAACCCCCTGGAATTGCAGGATTGGTTCTCCACATGCATGCAAGTTTTTTGGTTTTTTGCAATGTTGTCATTGCAAGTCTATAACCTCCATTCACCCTGTTGAAAGGGGAATCGAGTTATTCATTTATTTATGTCAAGTAATACTTGCCAGTCCCTAAAAAAATTACAAAATAAAAAAATACACTATGTGTTTACAATAAAATTCAGAAACTGCACTGTATTTCAATGCAATATTAGAAAAACCTATTGCTAATGACCCATTTGCACTATCTCAATGGCCAGTTTACTGCAGCCTCGAATTTCAAACCAACTCTGCATCCTGTTTAGCAGCATTGCAGCTCCTCTTTTACATTTCAAACAGAGTGGATCAAGCCCCAGATCTGCCTCTCTCGTTTCCTTCCAGCGCAATAAACGGCTCAGTGTACCTTCGCTTGAGATGACGTGTCAGGCCGAAGGAACCTAAAGAGTTAAGAGCACCCCACCTGCTAAGTTTTGCTGAAAGGCTCCACGCGCGAGCGCTACCCTTTTGCCAAGGAAACCAAATTGTGCAACCAATTCAAACGAGAGGAAGGGAGGAGAGAGGGGTGGAGGGGCGGGGAGGAAGTGATTTGTTGCTGGCGCTTTACTACTACTACTACTATTACTACTATCGCTGACACTGTGATTGAAAGAAAAAGGAAAAAAAAGCGAGCACCGCGCTAGCCAACCGAAGGGCAGCCCCTGCCGTTGCTCTGACGCGATTTCACCACGCTAAGCCCTCCAGCCAGGTGCTGCAAGGGGAAGCAAGCCCCGGGCTTTTTTCCCCTTTCTCTTTCGCCCTCCTTCGCCAACAGGGGATTCATCATCGCCTGTTCTCCCCGCCCGGAGTGCAAGAGATCGTACCTCCCCGCCTTGCAGTCCCATTCATGCTTCACACACTAATACAACTCCTTCCTGTACAGGATGTATTATTACCATCATTTAAAAAAAAATCCGGCGTTGAGTGTGGGGTTTTTGTTTTTTTTTTGTAGTAAGGCACTGTTCGAACTCTTCCCAACCCAAAACTTTGCGCTTTGCCAAGGCAAAGCTGGGAAGAAACCCCACGAGTTCCCCCCGCCCAGCGCTGCCGCTCCGCAGGAAGGAAGCGAACTGGTTGGGCGGCGCGGCGCGCGCGACGGCGGCGGCAATGCCCGGGCTCGGCAGAAGCGGGGCACCCCGGGTGCGTCACCCAGCGCCGCCGAAGTCGCTTTTGTGACCCAGACTCGCAACTTCGGGCTGCACACAATCGCGAGCGCACGCATGCCCCGCGCCGACCCGTTTTCTCGCCGCCTGCCTTTTTTCTTTTCGTATTAGATTAGCAATAACCGAAAGAGAAAAGGGAAACTTCAGCGTGAGCCCCAGCAGCTAGGACTTTGCTTTCCGTGCCAAGGGGAAAGGAAGGGAGGAGGGGAGAGAGCGCGGGCAGAAAGGGAGGAGGGGAATAATCGCTGGCGCTACACGGCGAAAGAGAAAGGCAAGTTCTGGCTCCACGTGGAGCGACTGTCCCGAGATAATTGGAAAACAATCCTGCACTGTGTGAGCGTTTCTGCAGACCACGAGGCGCGGCTTGGCCCTTCCAGTTTGCTGCTGCACGCCACGAACAGCGGAGGGTGAAAGGAGCAGCGCCGGGTAGCCAGAGTCACCTCCACCACCCCACAGCCACAACGTTTCCCAGCACAGGACAACTGAGGCTTCCTCCATAAGACACACAGGCGACCTTGTCTTTCTTGCCATGCAAGATCAGGGTCAACATTAGCAAAACGAGTGACAGTTATTGACAAGCACCCCTAGCCCGTTCTCCCCTTACCTCCCATTGCATCCTCCTCTCCAGCCAAAGTTGTTCCACACGTTGCTGCAAAGAACGCTCGGGCTTGCGGAGAACAGCGTGTGCATTAATGAATGCCACACTGCACAGCACTGCTTTTGGGATGCATATATAGCATGCATACATACATACATATGCTTTTTCTAAAAGAGGGGTTATCGAGAGGAAGCCGAGTTTGGAGTCCCGAAACACCACGCCGGGCAAATTCAAAAAAAGAGAGCTGGGTCACCCTTCCACGCAGCCTGTCATCCACCTGACACAACCACAGAGAATGAATGAGACGAATGGACACAGGGATCAAATACCTGCAAGCTAAGCCGCTCCGACATTTTTACACCCTTTTCGTACCTCCAGTGGGCTGCTTGCTCCGGCCCAAACGATCGCGGAACGGGGACGCCCGTCGCGATCGCCGGAGGCAGCGGGTCCCCTTGGCAAGCCAGGAACGGGCCTGAACCTTTTTATTTAATTATTTGGGCCCACGCGTGCAACGCGTAGCCTGGGAGCAATACCCTCCCGCGCACGACACACAAAACACGCCTTTCACTGCACAAACCTGCACGACTCATTGCAAATAATCGATTCTTCGTTAACTCCTAAGTAACTCGCAACCGGGAGCGGAGGGATGTGGCTTGCAAAGGGGAAAGTAAGCTGCTAAACTTTTGCTGATGCAGCCTTGCGCTTTCTTGCAAGGCACCCGTTTTAATGCACGCTCTGACAGGTGTGCAAAAGAACTGCTGCTGCTCTCGCCCTCCTGGAAGCTTAGGGAGTTTCTTTTCTTCTCTGACACTGCGAGAGTTTCCCCCTCCCCAAAAAAGCAGCCCGACAAGACAAGACGTACACACAGAAAGAGGAGACAGACAGGCAGAAATGCATTGGCGTTGCGAAGGGGTTTGCTTTTCTGCCCCTTCTTGTTCTTATTACCTGTGCCTAGGTCTCCTGGCCATCCTTGCATTAGTCACTGAGGGCAAGGCGAAAAGTAAGTGGGCGGGTGGGGGAGGAGAGGGCTTTATGCTGCTGGAAGAGGTGCTTGGCGTTTCTTGCCGCTTAAGAGGAGCTCCTCCGCCGCAAAGTTCTCAGGAGCGGGAGAGGGGAGGAGGAAACAGGTTGAGATGAAAGAGTAAACTCTGTAAACAGAGATGCCATCAAACAAAGGGCTTTTTGGACACTCCCCCTCCCGCCAAATCTGGCGCCCCTGCAGTGCGCAGGCGCTTCTCCAGCCGCTGGCCCTGGGTCTTACTGGCACGGAGGAAGTCCTTCCAGCCCATTCGGCTCTGTGTGTGGCTCGAAGCGCGCGCGGCTGAGGCGGCGCCGGCGGCAGCAGCCCGGAGCTGAACTCGAGGGGGAGAGCGGGCAGGCGCGAGAGGCGCCTTTTGCTGCACAGTCCCGCGCAGCCGAGACGTGTCCTGCTGACACACACACACACAGGCACACAAACACCCGCCCCCCGCCAGACCGCCTGAGCACGGGCTTGCTCGGGGAGCCGGGGTGGCTGGGAGGCGCCATGCCAGGCTCCACGAGAGGAGCCCGCTTCGCTCTCTCCTCACCCACTTCGTGGCCTCCATAAGGAGACGGCTGGGCTCAAACTTCCTCTGGCGCTCTGCCCGTTTTGCTTGCCAAGGAGGAAGCTCTAAGCTGCAACTTATTCTCCGCCAGGTCCACCTGTCTTTTTTGCGGGGTGGAGGTGGACGGTAATGTCGCTAGTTTTTTATATTTTTTTACAGGGCTTCTATGACTTTTAACGGCAGGCAGGCAGGCAGGCGTTCAACAGGTGTAGTGCCACCTTTCTGTTGAGAAAAACGACCTGTTGAATTTTTGCCTGGTATTGGAAATGCTGCAGTTTACAAATTCTGCCGGGGGGAGGGGGAGAGGGAGAGAAGGTGGTGGCCACCCCATCTGAGGCTTACTGAGAACAGGCTTGCAAATATACTCTCCTGGGAGGAGATTGCAGCAGGCTGCGCTTTCTTTGTATTTAGAAGCTGACAGACTGCTTCCAGTGTTTTGAAATCATACCTTCCATCCGGATTGTTGCAGCCCAGGAGTTGCCTTTGCTAAAAGGCACCCGTTGCACATGTGTTAGGAGTAGCTGTGGAGTGCACAGTGGGAGACAGTTTCTGCATATATCTGTAATGCAAGAGGGGAAATGCAATGCAAGACACCAGCACATCCAAGTTTCTGCACTTTCTGCATACAAGTGGGACCTACAACAAAAGATTGCAGGGTGGAGTGTTGCTTTTTATTATTCCAGTCAGCCATACGCAGTTGGAAAGAGCGTGGTGCTGATAACGTCAAGGCTGCAGGTTCGATCCCAGTATGGGGCACCTGCCTATTCCTTTATTGCAGGGAGATGGACTAGTAGATTAACCTCAGGGTCTCTTCCAACTCTACAATTCTATGATTCTTTGTCTTCTTCAAGGATATTCTATTTCATTACCAGCACTGCTCATTTTCTGTTCCCCAACATTTCCAACCATCAGCCGCCGTTTGATGGCCATTGAGAATGCTCAGTTCTGACTGGGCTGGTTTGGGGTTTTTTTGTCCCCTTAGGTTACCCCCCCCCCCTTAAGATCTTTAATACTTCTGCAAACTCTGGGGTTTTCCCAAGCTTGCTGATACATTCCTCTTCTCTGTGGCCCTGTTTAGGCTGCAGTGTTGGCACTCATCAACTGAGTTCACGATTAGAGGGAGTGATGTGCAAAGCATGCACACCCATTATGTATCCCCATGAGACTGTCCTGGCCCACACCAATAGAACCAAGAACAGACTAGCATACTGATAAGGGGTGTGGGTGTGTGGGTGTTGTAATACATGGCTGCCACTTGTTTACTTCATTACCTTTACAATATTGTCTGTGCCCAGTCTCTCAGGCTATGTACACATTAGTGATGTCATTCCCCCTCACTGTTTCAAGCTGCCTTTTAACCTCCTATTCCAAGTCCTATTCCATGAAGCTATCATCTGTGCATGCAGAATGGCTGTATCAATTGTAAGTAAAGGTAAAGGGACCCCTGACCATTAGGTCCAGTCGTGACCGACTCTGGGGTTGCTGCGCTCATCTCGCTTTATTGGCCGAGGGAGCCGGCGTACAACTTCCAGGTCATGTGGCCAGCATGACTAAGACGCTTCTGGCGAATCAGAGCAGCGCACAGAAATGCCATTTACCTTCCCACCAGAGTGGTACCTATTTATCTACTTGCACTTGACGTGCTTTCGAACTGCTAGGTTGGCAGGAGCAGGGACCGAGCAACGGGAGCTCACCCCGTTGCGGGGATTCAAACCGCCAACCTTCTGATCGGCAAGTCCTAGGCTCTGTGGTTTAACCCACAGCGCCACCCGTGTCTCTTCTGTATCAATTGTACACACAGCTTAAACACAGCTCATGGAAGCTGGTTTGAAAAATGCATCAAACAGCAATATTTCTCAAGAAATTACAGGATGTATATGGATAGTGGCTGGCACCATGTGCACTCGGGTTCAAACACCAGCAGCGGGGATGCACAAGTAAGCAGGGATGTATACACAGCCTCAGATGTGTCTTCTGTTTTGCAGCCAATGACCTGCCAAGCTGTTTTCACTTATCCATACAGGAGTTTAATGTGGATTTGAAGCTGCATGTGAAGCTGCTTGATTTTTTTGGTGTTGTCTGCGCTGCATTCTCCCCATCCAACTGGCAGCCTACAGTTTTTCATACTAAACTTGGAAAGTAAATCCAACATAAAATTACTTGTTACCTGACTGGACACACTAGAACACACTATGTGGGCAGGTTCTGGTGATGTTTCTGCAGTGTCAATAATAACCCCATACTTCCATTTTGCTTCCATCAGCTGATAGGAAAGGATTTAATGAAAGCTGTTCCTTTGTGCAGAAGAGATTTTGTGCAAAACAACTGTGTTAAAAATTAAAATGGAATTTCTCCCTGCAGATCAGAAGGTGGGGAAAGAAAAGAGAAGGGAAGGAAGTGGCACCCTTTCATGAGTGACTCCAAATTCTTGCTTGGCTTGAAGCAACACACATTTGTTTGTTTAACACTGCAGTTTTCTGCAAATCTGATATATTGGGAAACTCATCTTTCAAAAGCAATTAAAAGGTGCCTGCACACAAATATAAAAAACTTGTCCACATGCCTACAGTGGACCTCTGGGTTCTGGAATTTACACTGGGTGGGGAAGTACCAACTGAGGGGAGGGGACAACACACAGTGTGAATACATCACATCAAGCACTGCCCAATAGTGTTGGTGGGAAACACCAACTTAGCAGTGACTTTAAGAGAAGTCAAAAGATCTAAAAAGCTTGGAAAAACCCCCAGAAAGATAAAAAAGCCTTGTAAGGAGTTCTTCGAAAGGTGCCATAACTTAAAAGGCCCTCCTCCTGGCTGCCATCCATTGTATCTTAGAGTGACTGGGCAGAATAAGGAGGAGGAGGAAGGTACACAGGGCTTTAAAGACGAGTACCAGCCCCTTGACTTGAGCCCAAGGGCCAGTGTACAGTGGTGCCTCGCAAGACGAAATTAATCCGTTCCGCGAGTCTCTTCGTCTTGCGGTTTTTTCGTCTTGCGAAGCACGGCTATTAGCGGCTTAGCGGCTTAGCGGCTATTAGCGGCTTAGCGGCTATTAACGGCTTAGCGGCTTTAAGAAAAGGAAACAAACTCGCAAGAACTCGCAAGACGTTTCGTCTTGCGAAGCAAGCCCATAGGGAAATTCGTCTTGTGGAACGACTCAAAAAATGGAAAACTCTTTCGTCTAGCGAGTTTTTCGTCTTGCGAGGCATTCGTCTTGCGGGGCACCACTGTAGTTGTTTTAACGTTAGAAAGATAATGATCTTGCCATCTGGACTCAATCAATGGCCTAACTGCAGTTTCTGAATGGTCTTCGAAGGCAGCCCTGCATAGTCTATGGCAGCAGTCTAGCTTCAATAAATATTACTGGAGCATGAAAGACCATGACATAATCCAGCACAGATTGCAACTGATGCGCCAGTTTACGCTGATGAAAAGCAGTGCAAACCACTAACACCACTTGGGTCTCAGTGTCAATTTAATGCTCTTTACTGCCTTTGTCGTTTACTAAGAAAATTAATTGAGCTTATCAAAAATGTCGTAACTTGATATCACCCTTATAGCATATACAGAGGTTTTGGGTTGAGATCAGGATCAGTGTTTCTCAAATTCAGGTCCCCCAACTGAAGGACTACAATTCCCATCATTCCTGACTACTAGTCCTGCTAGCTAGGGATGATGGGAGCTGTAGTCCAACAACAGCTGGGGACCCAAGTTTGAGAAAGTTAGGGCATTGGTGGGGGCAGAGGGGAGGAAGGAAGCCAAGGAGGTTTTAATATGACTACAGCTACTGTTTTCCTAGGTCCTAGGAAATGTTCCAGCACAGGTGATATAGCCTGTACCTGATCCCAGGTGGTATCCAGGTGGTCTGAGCTCCATGTGGGGATGGTGTGGGAAAGTCAGTGCCTCATTTAAAATGAAAGTAAATATTGTCTTTCCAGCAGTATTCCAGGCAGCCTGAGGACCATTCTCCACCTTATACTGACGGCTTGTTGAAATTAGTCTCCATGCCTTCCGGCCCACCAGCCCTACTTGGCACTAGCCTCCACCATTTACAAGCTTACAATGTAGGTGAATATTCTGTTATTTTGTCACCAGGTTGGGTCACAAGTGTTTAAAAATATAATATTTAAACGAGTTTTCAGACAAATAAAATCAAAAGAATAGAGTGGGTCCTATAATATATAAATCTCAGGTGTCAAAGGTGAGGGTAAAGATGTGTATCTCCAGCATGCAACGGTAACCACATAATGAAGGTGCCAGGCTTTCTCTGTGAGGAGAAATTCCACAATTTAGGAGCTGCCACAGATCATTCCCTCTCCCAGGCCACCTCCCTCCTGAGCTTTTGAGGGTGGTGGCACTATCTAGAGGTGCCCTGCTCCTGATCTTAACATCCATGAATATGTGCAGGGTCGGAGGCAGTCTTTCAGATATTTGAGCCCTGTGTTGTTTATGTGTCTGAGAGATGTTTATTATTAGCAGAAACTAGCTGATATTATTATCGTTTTTCTCCACCACATTGCCATCTGGACAAATTCAAAGTGCTGGGATTAATATTTAAAGCTATGCATCTTGAGGCCAGATTACCTAAGGGATTGTCTCCCTTTCTGGGTGGGGCACCTCTGAAGTTGCTGGAGGGTGTTGACATAAGAAGGGGGCTTCTCAGTAGTGGCTCCCAGCTTATGAAACGTTCTCTCCAGGGAGACACACCTGGCACCATCGCTATCTATTTTTAAGCATCAGGCAACAATGTTCCTATTCCACCAGGAAATTGGGCTTTATAAT